GAGGTCGGAAAATGTAGCTGACGATCAGATCTTGTGGGGGATTTGAGTGTTGAGCTTCTGTGAAAGCTTGGGAACCGTAAAATAGTGATGAACTCGGCTCGTCGGGGTGCACTACTATTAGAGAAAATACGGTATTTTGTTTAGTTTTTAAAACGCAAATTTTTGGGGATATAACCGGATAAGTACCAAAAAGATGAGTCAAAACTAGAGACTTTTAAAGTTCTCTAAAGGGGTATCTTTTAAAGTTCTCTAAAGCTAGGAAGATACGGTAAAATCGAAAAATTGATTAAAACTAGTGACAAAGATTATGGTAGAAAGAAGGCTTTTGTGAACGACTTTTGAGTAAAAGCTAAAATTTTGCCTCTTTTCTATCGTAGTCTTCTCTCTCGTTTTATTCAATTTTTATTCGTTTTATTCATTATCGTTGAGTCAAAACTAGAGGCTTTGTAATTAAAGAAAAGATCGTTTATTAAATCTAAATCTATCGCCACCCTCTTTGCTTTTAAAGATCTCTAAAGCTAGAATCTAAATCTAAATTTATCGTTTTATTCAATTCAATTTGATTTGATTCAATTCAATTTTATTCAATCACTTTTATTCAATTTTATTCTGTATTCTGTATTCTAAAAATATCGAAAGAAAGAAAAAAAAATTGATAAAAATAAAAAGATTACGGGAGTTTTTTTTAAAGAACTTTTTTTTAAACACTTTAGAAAAGATTCATTTAAATGAAACTTAAAACATACGAACTTTTGGACAACTATGGCTTTACCATTTTCATTAAGAAGCCAACTTTCCTAAGCCTTCTCATATCTGCAATCAAATATTTTGATTATCTAAATCTATCGCCACCCTCTCTAGATTTTTTTCCCCCAAATTGCCCGTTTCTTTGCGATTTTTCGTTTCCCCAGCGACCCCCACCGTCTATTTTTTTTTCTCTCCTTCGCACCCCAATTACCGTATTTTTTTTTTGAAAAATCTAAATTTGTAAGTAGAAAAGAAGAAAATTTAGAGAAAAATCGAGTTTTAAAAAATAAATTTTTATTGGGAAAAATTGGAAAAAAAATTTTGAAAAAAAAAAATTTGAGCAAAATCGTTTTTGAAATCAAATTTTATTTCTTTTTCTTTCTTTTTTTCTTATTTTTGATCTTTAATAGATTTCTTTTTCTTTATTTAAATTTATGCAAAAAGAAAATCGTCAGAGATCGTTGAGAGTTGAGATCGAATTCGATTTGGAGAAGAAATGTTTGGCCCGCATCTTTTTCATTTGGTCGGTAGAGAATAGAGAAAAGAATGGCTTAAAATGCTTAAATGTCTTCATTTATAAGGTGACCAAAATACCGTACTTTTTCCCTTTTTTAAAACTTATTTTTGTGAAGCGAAATGAATGATTTAGAGTCAATTGCCAAGCCGTTACCGTACTCGTTAAGCTGTTACCGTACTCATTAAGCCGTTACCGTACTCGTTAAGCCGTTACCGTACTCGCTAAGCCGTTACCGTACTCGTTAAGCCGTTACTGTACTCGTTAAGCCGTTACTGTACTCGTTAAGCCGTTACCGTACTCGTTAAGCCGTTACTGTACTCGTTAAGCCGTTACTGTACTCGTTAAGCCGTTACTGTACTCGTTAAGCCGTTACCGTACTCGTTAACTGTCTGGATTGATGCAGTTTCGGATATTCTTTCAAAGTGTTCCCCTAAACTCTTGAATTTCAAATTTTATGGGAAAATCCAAATAAATCGGGCAGGTATGAAAGCTACCCTTTTTTGCGTAACTTTTTCATAGCTGCCCCTTTTGTTTGAAATTCCCCACGAAACTAGAAGATATTCAGCTGAGTGGGCAAGGGGGCACTTTGAAAATATTTGAACTTAGGTAACTTACAATTAGAATAGTAGATTTTAAACAGTATACAGTTGTATTTTGAATATTTTGGCTCCTGAACACTTTTAGTTAGATAGCTCAAAGATTACGGTATTTCCAGTCAACTTCTCACGTTTCACTTGCGACTTTTTTTCCGAGAAAATCCTGGGCTGACGCTTTAAAGTGTGGTAAAACTACCGTACCCCTCTGAAGGTTTGCAGGCAGAAAAGAAAGCGCGTAATTTCATTCTTTCATTTTTGTTTTTCATTTAATTCCATTCTTTTTGTGTATTTCTGATGTGGTCTTCTTCGTATTCTTTATGAATGATGAGACAACTTTGTGGAAAGGATTTGTAGAAGGAATCGGTACATTGGTACTACGCCTGTTGGGGAGGGGGGCACCTTTTTCTTCAAAACCACTTTACAGTGTGATGGATACACATAGAGAAGAGGTCGAAAAATGGTCTCTCGAAGCATTTTTAAACGAACTTTAATTAACTCGACACTGCAAGATGATTTTATGAAATAAAACAAATGAAACTTGGCAAATTCCTTGCAGAAGATGGAGAAACATGTTTCCTTAAATACCTACCGTAAATACTATGTATAATAGTAACCCACCCCCTCGTAAAGTCGCGTAGTCGCAAATCTTTTTTCGTATTTCATTTTTTTCAAAGCGCCCGTACTTTCAAAAAAATGCGTCTTTGGTATCAAAAAATAGCCCTGAATTTCAGCTATTTTTTGATACCTAAGCGCGCATTGTAGCATAAAGCAGTGTCGAGAAAAACTCGTTCAAAGCTAGACTACGCAATACTTCGCAACGTTATTATGAGGGTGGGGTACTATTACAGTATTTACGGTAGATGTTATTGATTCAGTTTAGTTAAAAAATCATGATTGTTTTAGAATAATTATTGGAAGACAAACAGAAATACGCAAAAAAAATGGAATAAAATGAAGAACGAGAAGGAAATTGCGCACTTTTTTTTCTACCTGCAAATTAGGAGGGGTACGGTAGTTTTACCACGCTTTAAAGCGCCAACCCATGATTTTCTCGGCGGGAAAAGGTCGCAAGTCATGTTTCGATCAAAAAGCCTTAGTGTATTGCTGATTTCTGAATGAATCGAATGCGTCAAAAAGACACCGGATTTCCGGATAAAATTCAAAAATTGAATAAACTTTTAGAAAAGCTTTTTTCTAGAAATTACTGTTTATCGAAATGAGCCGTTTATTCAATGTCGCTTTTTCAAAGGTGTAGTTTAGCGTGGTTTACTGTACTCTGTTTGCTTTAAAAGCGCTTAAAATTCACTGAAAAATCTCAGGAAATCCGGTATTTGAGCTCCCCATTTTTTTGACACGCAAATTCCCAAAGTGTGAGGGTGGAAAAAATGAAATTTGGAAATGAAATTCAATTTTTATTCAAGTTCTGCGATAAATTTAGAATCAAATTTGAAAGATTATCGAGAAAATTGAAAATTTTCAGCGGATTTGCAGAAAATCGAAATAATTTCTGAGTTTTCTGAGAGAAAAACCTCTGAAAATTCTTGATGAGAGATGAATTTTTAAGTTCAAAACTTTTGCTTCACAAATTTTCCATGTTTTCTTGATATTTGATTCATTTTGTTTATCGAAATGAGCCGTTTATTCGGAATGAGCCGTTTATGTCGCTTATTCAAATGTGTAGTTTAGCGTGGCTTTTAAATTTTCGCCATCAAACTACAGTAAACTCAAATGCTGAGCCAAAGCTACGTGACCCATAATCGCGCACGTATTTTGGGTTCTCTCGAAACGCGCGGCGGTACACCAATCTCTAGTACACCAAAAGGGCTAGTAAAGAAATGGTTTTAAAAGTGATTTTTGAGCTTTGCCTGGCCTAGAGCTCGATTAAGATAAACTAAAATTGATGAAGATGATTGATGAGCCACTTTCAAGAACTTTAAAATGTGATAATGATGAGATTGGTGTTATTTGAAATACCAAAGTATCAAAGTGAAATTTCTATTTTTCTCAGCTATCGTAAAAACTTCAAAAAATGTGAAGGTGAGTTGAAATTCTTTTCAATTCTTTTCAATTTCAATCTCTCTGATTTCAAAATTTCCCTCTTGAACTCGAAGTTTTTACTCGCCAGAAAATTCTCGAAATTCCGAAATTCCGAAATTCCGCTCGAATTGAACGCAAGATTCTACGTAAATTCCTTTAAAATTTCAAAATTTCAAAGGAATTTACGTAGAATCTTGCGTTCAATTCGAGCGGAATTTCGAGAATTTTCTGGCGAGTAAAAACTTGAGTTCATGAGGGAAATTCGTGGGAATCTCAATTTATTCCTTCACACAAAAAAGGGGAAACTTTTTCAAAGAGATTTTATGAAAGGAAATGTGAAAAGGAATTCCCAAAAGGGTCCAAAAGGACCCAAAAGGGCCCAGAAAAAAGAACCGAGAAAAGAAAGAGAAGAGATTTCTGGGGAAATTGAGGAATTTCTGAACAAAAGCTCAAAATATTATTGGAATCGATTCCGAGCTTTGCTTTCAATAAGACTTTTTTTGATTTCTAAAGTTTGAGGTTTGAGTTCGCAATGGAACAGGTTTGAGATCATCTTTTGAAACCCACAATAGCTTAGAAATCAACTAAAATCAATTAAAACTTAGGTAATTAATTAGAATAATGTAAATTCAATGTTAAATGCGAATTTCTAACTAGCTTTGTCATAGCTTTACAGTGGGTTTCAAAAGGTTTTACCCAAAAAAAAATCACCGCAACTGAATGATTCATTTTTTCACCGATTCAATCAATGAAATTTCTCTGTCTCTCTTGACTGAATATCTTCTAACAATCAAACAAAAAGCCTTCAAACATTCTCTTGTCATTTTTGTTCTCTCATTTCTTGTCACTTTTAAACCCAAAAAATCTCCCAAAACCCTAAACATGCAAATTTTGGACCCAGTAAAAACCAGTTTACTTTTTTGTTTGTAGGGTTTGGACCCAGTAAAAACCACTAGAACCACTAAAAACCACTAAAAACCACTAAAAACCACCACATCTTGAACGGCAATTGGTTGGTAGGCTAAAAATTAAAGATATAACAAAAGAAAATATCCAAATAAACTATCCAATCCTTCTTTGCTATTCGTTAAATTCAAATTTAGATGTTCGACACTCGATATCGAACTCAAAAAGAGCGAAAAGCCCTTCAGCCGACCCTCAAAACGAAAGTGTACAATTTCTTGGAAAGGCCGACCGGATGGAAATGTTTCGTTTATCATTTTAGGTTTGTAAAAATTATGATAACAAAGAAAGAAAGTGAGCAAGAAAGTTGATTTGATCAGCAGGAGTCCTGGTCAAGGACTGCATTTTCGTCATTGTAGACCATCCGCCGTGTTCGAATTTGAATAACCTGGACTCTTGATCAAATCAAACTGAATTGAGATCAATTTCCAGACCAAGTCTAGCAATTCATCGGCTTTACTAGGCTTGGATTTTGGCAGTCCTGGCTGACCATGGCTTAAACTGTGTGCAAATGACCTGCTTACATGTACAAAACTAGTAAATACTGTACTACTGTAAAGATAGATAAGATAGATAAGAAAGAGCTTCTCAATCGCGATTCCAGTGTCTTCATCCTCGTGCTCGTTTGTCTCATCCTCTCCGTGTTGACGACCGTCGAACGATACACATCAATGGCCGCGGAAACTCTTTTCTTAATGGTTATCAGCTATCGTAGTCCTCCAAAGTGCTTTTTATAGGAAATCTTCCTCGTGAGTTTTTTCGGCTGCGAGTACTGTGTCCGATTGTGGTCAGCGGGGTGTCGAAGCAAATATTTGGGAGTAAGAGGACGATTGAAATTCGCTCTCAAACCTATATCGATCATTGGTAAGGGGGATAGAAAGGAAAATTCAAAACCAAACCTAATTCCACCTTCGTTCTCTCAGCCATTTTTTAACCGATTGCTCTGAAATTTTGTCTACAATTAGAAATCGACATTTTCAGAGTAATCGGTCGAAAGAAACGGTCGAGAAAATGAAGGTGGAATTTGGTTCGGTTTGGAAAGTCGAGTAAAAGACTGAAAGAGATTCAGATTTCTGTGTGGTCGTCGCGAGTATAGTCGTTATTTTATTCGGCACAGAGGGACAAGTGTTTGCGACGAGTGCGATTCGGGGGATACGTTTCTTGCAAATTTTACGAATGTTACACGTCGATCGACAAGGAGGAACATGGTAGGGAAAAGAGGAAAACATGAGAAGCCATGAGAAAGAAAAGAAGTTCTAAACCCTATTTTGTTACGAATATGTTATCAAAGTCGGCTCTCAGGCGTCTCCTCGGCTCAGTCGTTTTCATTCATCGACAAGAGCTCATCACCACTCTCTACATCGGATTTCTTGGGCTAATCTTCTCGTCATATTTCGTTTATCTGGCAGAAAAAGGTTTGATTTACATTTAAATCTGGTAATTCAAAGGCTATTCAAAAAGCTGAAAACCAAGCCAAGTCAAGCCTGAAAATGGCCAGCTTTGAGTAGCCTTGGAAAGTCGAAACAAGCTAGCCATAAAACAAGCTAGCCATAAAACAAGCTAGCCACAAATCAAGCCAGTCAAATTGAAAGAGTAAGGCATAAAACCCTTCCCTGGCGGCAATTGGATTGATGTAGCTCATTGGCAAAGTGTTCGCCCGGTAAACGAGAAGTCGTGGGTACAAATCCCCGACCATTCCCAACCCCAACCCAGCCCCAGCCCAACCCGTGTCCAACTAAATGATCCTAACTCGACTTAGACAAATGGTAGTCAAGTAATATAGAAAAATTGAACTGTCAAATATCAATGGCAAATGAAAATCGAAATGATTTCTTGTCTCAGATCACATCGGACCCGAGGGGAAACAAACGTTCACTTCATACGCCGACGCTTTGTGGTGGGGAGTGGTGAGTTATCTAATAGTTCAATAATATCTAATAGTTCAATAATTTCTGAAATCATTTCCAAATTCAGATAACAATGACAACAATCGGTTACGGAGACGTTGTTCCACAAACGTGGCTGGGTCGAGTTGTCGCCTCGTGTTTCTCCATTTTCGCCATTTCATTCTTTGCCCTTCCGGCTGTGAGTAAATCAAGAACAAAACTATATTTAGATAATAATTTTATATATCAGTGCGTAGATCTGATTGCCTGAGGCTTTTGGGGGTGAATGTTGTGCTCAGAAATTTGCATTCATTGAAAACTAGAGCCAACATTTTCTAGGGAATTCTCGGGTCCGGCTTTGCACTGAAAGTCCAGCAGAAACAACGCCAAAAGCATTTCAATCGTCAAATTCCCGCCGCCGCGACACTCATTCAATGCGTTTGGAGATGTCACGCGGCTGAGAAGAGTGATAATGGACCAACTTGGTGAGAGATAAAGAGATAGAGAGATAAAACATTACAAAAGAGAAAATACTATTGAAAAGATAGATAACCCAGTGCCAGAAATAGTATCATTGAACACTAGATAACCCAGCGCCAGCATTAGCATCATTGAACACTAGATAACCTAGTACCAGCATTTGTATCATTGAACACTAGATAACCCAGTGCCAGCATTAGCATCATTGAACACTAGATAACCCAATGCCAGCATTAGTATCATTGAATACTAGATAACCAAGTGCCAGCAATAGTATCATTGAACACTAGATAACCCAGTGCCAGCATTAGTATCATTGAACACTAGGATAACCCAGTGCCAGCATATTCTTGTTATCTTCTATCAAATTGTTTTAGGATGGTTCACATCGACCCACTCGCTCATTCGACCGAGGAAACGCATCGAAAAAAGGGGAATTTGAGTGGTGATGAGGGACATGGAATACAAGGGATAAGAGTTGGATTGACACACAGAAGAGGGAGAAGAACGGCTCATGGATTGTTCAAGAACACGACGAGGAGCAATAGCAAGTAAGTGAATGGGGAGTAGAGTGTGTTCCCTCCGAGTGAGTAAATTACTCGAGTAAAATTTGCATGAGTCATCTTTACTCGATTAATCGGCGAGTTTTTTGGCGAGTAACTACGAGGTAATCCTCTTTACACATCGATTAAATTGAATATCTTTTCATTTGAAGGAAATTTGCCACCAAATAAATTAAGCGGCTGAATATCTTTAAAAGGAGCCGTATATAAGCCGGCGCTCGTCATTTTTTTTGCAAAATGGGGGGTGGGACAAATGCGACCTTTTTTTTGCTGGAAAAGGCCTTAGGAAAGGTCGTAGAGCTTCAAAAATGTTTTCACAGAAGGGAATCGTATGCGTAGATTCAGAATTTCGACAAATCAGACCTCGCTGACACGTCAAATTTGGGCTAAAGGGCAAAAACTGCGGAAAAGCGTTAAGTTGCGTAGTTTTCGCCCTTTAGCCCAAATTTGACGTGTCAGCGAGGTCTGATTTGTCGAAATTCGGAATCTACGCATACGATTCCCTTCTGTGAAAACATTTTTGAAGCTCTACGACCTTTCCTAAGGCCTTTTCCAGCAAAAAAAAGGTCGCATTTGTCCCACCCCCCAAAATGGGGTTAAGTATCGAAATTTACCTTTAAATCTGCAATTTTTAGAAACAGACACAAAAGTGATGACAGTGAGATGAGCGGATGGAAAGATAAAGATGCTGGTGGAAAAGGAAGTGATCTTGAAGAGGGAAATCAAGGTAATCAGAAAGGGAAACAGAAAGGAAGCATATCTGAGTCTCCTTTTCTTCACGTCATCTCATAGATTGGAACTTTTTTTTTACTGACCTGAAGAAATTCTAGAACTATTTTTGTAGAACTTGTACAGATCTCCCGTCCATTTCAGCTATCCGGCAAGATTCCCTGATTGAAAATGAGGATGATGGAGTCGATAGTTCACCAGGAATCACCCTCAAAATATCACAGTAAGAGAGCTGGGGATTCACCAAGAAACAAGACAAGAACAAGACAAATTCAGTATCTGCGAGTTGACGGAAACACACCGAAACGCAATTCGAGCCATTCGAAAGATCAAATATTTTGTGTCACGGAAGAAATTTCAGGTTTGAAAAGGGGAAATGACTGCTATGGAAAAGAATTTCTTTTCAAACTAGATTCTTTGTAAACGCACCCTTTCTGGCGCACTTGTTCTCTTCGCAGAACGGAGAAAAATAGATAATCAAGTGCGCCAGAAAGAGTGTGTGTTTCCACCTTTTGAGCACAAAGTACAAGTTCTTTTACAGCAAGCACGTAAACCGTACGATGTGCGAGACGTGATTGAGCAATATTCCCAAGGACATCTCAATATGATGGTCAGAATAAAGGAGTTACAAAGAAGGTAAAGAGATTTCGATGTCTGGGAAATGTCTGGGAAATAAAATCTATCAATTTCTAGACTCGATCAAACGTTGGGCAAACCCGGACAATATCAGGGAAGCAACAAAAAAGGACAAGCACAAACAATTGGAAGTCGATTGAGTCGAGTCGAGTTACAGGTACAGAAACAAAAGATAAAGATAATGCATTAACGCATTTGCATTAAAAAGTGCCCATATCCTATGCGTTCAACGATCCTTCAAGCATTCCAATCACAGGTGCATTCGATCGATCGCAAATTGGACGCAACCACGCGTCTACTCCAAGCCGTTTATCGATCAGTTTCACAGCGACAATCCGAAGATGTAAGTTTTTTTAAAAACACTATCTTTCTTCAACACTAGCTAGCCAACTTTCTGATAATTCGGCATAGATGATTTCATTGATTTCATCGATTTCATCGATTTCATACGGTATTTTAACATTACGATATATGTTGTTAAAGATTTTGAACTATCACTAGCATCTACATAACATACACCATTAAAATCAAAGTTTATTACAGAGCGGTAATAGCAATAGCATCAAAAAATTGTAAATTGTAAACGGCAAGACGAATAAATACAGACATTACGGAAATTTAACAAACAAAATTCAAACTTTCAAAGCTTTCAAACGAACCAAACCCTCCGCCCGACCATTACGAGGATACACCACCATCTCGTTATTAGCGATTTTGATTTCTAAATGGAAAAATTATACAAATAACTTTCTAAAGGTTCCTCTTTGTTTCAACCATCATTCAGCTTGTTAGTACTTCCAAAAACATCTTTAAGTTGATAACTTTAGGCGTTTTGGGAAAACTTTACTATCGCCTCCGCACCAGTGTAAAATCAATAGAAAAGTGAAGGGTTATACTAAAGTATCCCTTGGGAACTGAAGTTAAATTTTAAAATTAAATTGGTCGTGTACTCTAGTCCCCACCAAATACAGTAGTGGGGGCGTTTGTAAAGCGAATGTGGGGGATAGTAAATTGTGGGGAGCGATAGTAAAATTACCCGCAAATCCTTTACTATTACCCCCCATATACATTACTATCGCCGGAAGGTTCCTTTTCTCTCTTAATTTGGTTCCCCTTGTCTCCCTAAATTTGGTTCCTTATCTCCCTAAATTTGGTTCCTTTTCTCTCTAAATTTGGTTCATTGTCTCTCTAAATTTGGTTCCTTATCTCTCTAAGCGCAAAGGTAGAAACCCGCACGCTCACAAAAATGACAAATGAGCAAATGGTCCAGTTTTTCAATAAAGTTGGGCTACAGTAATTTCCTCCAGTCGTATTTTATCCACTATTTAGAAGGTCATCTTTAAAATAGATCTTTAAAACAAAAATATAGAAACTCAAGAAACAATTTCAGATGGGATCACTGCGAGCCCAAGTCACGCCGACACCGCCAAACCTCGACAGGTAAAGGCTTACAAAATCTTCCAATTATTTTAAAAATTCTTGAACAAGTACTATAAGACAGTAACCGTGCTGTACTTTTTAAGTACTGCGGTACTACCTCTGCAATAAAGCATCTCGTCTTTCGATTTCCCTTCAAATACTAAACCCTTGACTCTTCCCCAATGTGCTTTTCTTTTCTGACCGCAATCTCACCCAATCCATTCATTCACAGATACACTTCCGAGCGTTCCCTTTGTCGTTCCCCTTCTCCTACTCCAACTCCACAAATGATGATTTCTTCCGTTACAATCTCTCAGCCAGCGTCGCCCGATAAATCCTCCGGTTCTTCACTTCTTCCATCACACGATCGTCCAGTTTCTCCATCTCCATCACTTTCTCCAAACGGATATCGATAGGATTCAGAGATTATTATCTTCATCCACTTGTTTGGGCTCAAAGAAAATGATCACAAAAGGGTAATGCTTTAGAAAATTTTCCGAATTCTTTGATACTTATTGATTAAAGTCATAGACAAATACGAAAAATAAAGCTTTTACGTCCAAATTTTACACTCTAATAAGTTCTCCTGCTGAAATCTGTCATTACGCATTGTTGGCTAAAGATAATAAAGATAATTTTAATATTCCAAAACCTAACTGTTCCCTAAAACCTAACTCTTCCCACAAATTTCAGTTCTGGAAGTCCACGAAAAGCTGTCAAATTTATCGAATCCTCTTGAAAATCCTATTTATTAAACTTTAAACTTTCAAAAGACGAGTATCAATGCAATATTCATTTGCTCATTTCCCAATTCGTGCATCTCTTTGACTATTCTGTTGTGATTTTCGAAGTTTATTGTTTCATTGAAATTTTAGACTTTAACGCACAAGTCTAATCATTACGGGTCCCAATAAACCTTTATCAAAAGCTGAATCTGAAAAATCTGAACGGAAAAACCCACATAAAAGCCACCATTTATTCACCAAACGATAGAGATCTACAAGAATCTTTTTCAATAAATGAGAAATGAGAGACAGTTAACATCGACGATGAGAAGCAAAGCAAGAGAAGAGAAGACAATTAAACGAGAAGAGACCATTCTAGCATCCACGAGCCTTGCACAGAATGTCGTAGTCGTTCATCCATTGCCAAGTCACATATTTCGTTACCAACTAAAATAGAAAACTAAAACTACGGCTCTTGCATGGTTTAGGTGACTTTTGAATTGACAGTCAAGCTTTAAAGGTTTATCACTTTCCGTTGAAATAAGTGCGAGTAATGATTGCGTTGGCTGATAATAAAAAGGTGAAACTTTTGTCTTTTTGCATAACAGAGCTTTCTCTTGCATGGCTTAGGTCACTTTTGAAAGTTTAGGTGATTTTTGAATTGAGAGTCAAGCTTCAAAGGTTTATAAGTTTCCTTAGAAATAACATGTGCATTTGTTTTTTATATATTTTAAGAGAAAAAATTTCTACCTTTCGAATGAGATTAAAAAGAGCCCAACAGGAAAGAACAATCCGAGATCAAAGCAGAATCGGCAGAATCAAAGTAGAATCCCACTGACGGTGTAAGTTATTTGATTTTCCAATTCAATCGTTTTGGTATCATTTGAAAGCTAGAAATTTTTCCTCTTAAAATATACAAAAAGTTTGAAATGAACATAACGTCTCATTTTCCCTAATTTACATTGGAACCTCCCTGAATTACCATTTATCCGCCAAATAAAAGAAATTGAAAGAGAAAGAAATGCATCATTCAACAACGCGACCACGACAATGACTTCTGCTACTGCTGGCAAGGAAATGGAGATCGAGATTCTGGTATGCTTTTGCATTTTTTTCGCCGTTGTTGTCACCTTTTTTTAAAAAATACTTTTGTCAAGTTGTTGCAAGAGTTGTTTATTGCTATTCAAGCGGTGTAACTTTCCCATTTTTAAAGGTGTTATCAACTTTTTCTCCGCAAAGCTACAAAAGTTCAAAGCCAAATTGGTACTTTGGTGGTTGGAGGGGGCACGTGTATCTTCGATTTTTCGACTTTTGCTAGGGTAATCGAGGGCGCTGAGTACGAATTTCCCATTTTTAACATAGATTTGCTTTTTAAAAACTGACTTTTTTGAGTTCGAAAGTAATTAAAAATCAATGCTTTTTGACGTTTTTTTTGCAAATTTGCGTGTCTACATTTGACTTTATAAGCGTTTAGCCGTAATGGCGCTTAGTTGGGGGTGCACTTAGGCAGGTGGTGCGGGTTGGGGGTGGGTGCTCCAAGCTCTTCGGAAAATAGTTGGGGATGTGTCTGAGCTAACTCTAGAGAGCTTGCACCTCCCCCACCCAACTATGTGCCATCAAACTGTGACTAGACCTTTTGCGATGACAACTCAGTTTTTTAAAGAGCAAATCTATGTTAAAAATGCGAAATTTGTGCTCAGCGTCTTCGATTACTCCGGAAAAAAGAAAATCTCGATGATATAGGTGCCCGCCCAACCACCAAAGTACCGCCAAATTTGTTTATACTGCCTTTGAGAGCGTTTTTCAATTCCAAAGTCTCAGACCCATTTACTTTTCTTTAGATCGAGGAAGGCGAACCACTGGGAGCGACCCCAAACGACAAGTTGACGATCACGAAAGTGCAAGAGGGAACGGTGGCTGAAGGACATTTGCAAGTCGGCGACCAAATCTTGAAGCTCAACGGCTTCCCACTCAACAATGCAAATGATTTCTTTCGTCGTCTTCGCTTCGCCCCACCCGTTGCCCGGCTCACTATTCTTCGGTGAGCTTTTCTTTGTGAAGATGATTTGTTTTCTAATCCAATCTACCGTTTGTAACTAAATTCTTTTATTTTAGTGGAGGAGAGAAAGCTCGAGAGCTCGCCACCCGTGTCCACATTCCAGCGGATCGCGAAAAACTTATTCAGGTTTTTTTTATCAGCTTTTATTTTTAATCCCATTTTCTTTCAGCGTCGTGACGGATATGCATACGAATTGGCCAAGTTGAACTGGGCTCCCGGAGGACCAAAGCTCGGACTCGGCATCAAGCACTACCAGAATCGAGTGCTCGTCAGTCGTGCTGATCCCGGATCCCTTGCCGCCGCTTGTCTTCAGGTAACTTTTGATCGCTTCATTTCTAAATTAATTTTTTTACAGATCGGCGACCATTTGATCGACATTGACGGAACGCCCGTGACGGACAAAGATGTGGCTCGAGATCTTCTTCTAAAGGCACTCCAGACCAAGGGTGAAGTCAGTTTTTTGTATATAAAAAGGTTTAATTGCTGGCTTAGTAATCGATTTGGCTTTAGGTGGCATCAGTAATTGAGCGACCGGTGTCGGGTGAGGCGAAGCACTGGATCCAACAAGCACTCGCCACTCAAACGGCTGCTCCTCCATCTGTCCAAATGAACTCTGATGTGCGCGCCATCGCCGCCAGACAACGTGCCGCCCTTCCCGCTAAAGCCACTATTGTAAGTTATTGAATCTTTAATGGATAGCTTTTGTTCTGCTATTTATACGTATTTCTTTAGGTTCCTAAGTCGATCCTCATTAAACCTGGTGCTGCACCACCCAAAAATCGTCGTGTGGTCGTCGCAGAGAAGACAAACAAGGTAAAGTAGTTTCAAGTTATTTAAGAACTTTTGCTTTAGGAGCACATGATTGCTTCGGACAACGAGGGCCGCAATCTGCGATCGGTGAGGAAATGAGCGATCAACAAAAGGCACACTTCAATCAAAGGAAATTCAAAAAAATCTCGTCAATTTCGTATTGAATGTTGTTCCCTATTTTATGTCCATTGATGTGCCAATAAACTTGAATGGATAAACATGACCATTTTTATGCATCCGATAGACTCTGTTTCTCCTTTTTGCAGCTTTTTCCGCACTTGTTTTCATCTCATGCAAAGAAAACAGAAAAAAGAATTGGTCGCAAAGCGGTGCCGCGTTAAGAGCCGCGAAAAGGGGGAGGATTTTCCCTCGTAAACAAGCCATTCCACATTTTCAACTTCCAACTAAATCCCAACACCTTCGAATTTTCACAAAATGTACGATGATTCAAATGAATTGTTGGCCATTTCGGAGCCTTTTGTTCGTATGCTCACTCATTCTCCCTATGGCTCTCACCTACCATACACTTGTCACAATTGTCGATCACCGTCGGATTACGGTATGTTGATGAATCAACCAAGATATCCGTTGTACTCATCCGACGAACATCAGCATAAACTTCATGAAAGTGAATTCAAAAATGTGCTCGAGCTTGGAGCTTTCAAACCGGAAAACATTAAGGTTTGATGGAAATTAGGGGAAATGAAGGAAATTTAATTTCAGATCAACATTGTCGGCCATTTGCTGACCGTTCGTGGTGAGCGAAATGAGAAAGCGGACAATTTTGAATGTACTGCAAATTTCACGAGAACTTTCAGGTACCTAACGTACAATCTTCAATATTATCACCAAGTATCATGTACCCAACTTGCAGACTTCCCAAGGGAATCGATCCAGATTCAATTTCGTGTCATCTTCTTGATGGGAATAAACTCGAGATCTTGGGAGTTCAAAAGGTAAAATCTGGAAAATAGACAAAAATCAATCCCACGATGTAAACACAAAATTTCGCAAGTTGTTTACGAGTCTCAAAGAGAGAAAAAGGTGTCTTTTTGGGCTTTCCTTTTTACTGCACTTTGTCGAGCGAAAGTATTTATTGAGCTAAATTGCAACATTAACATAATAATAATGATCCCAATGAAATTCAGGGATGGAAACGTTCAATCAACATCCCGATTGAGACCGATGATATGAGGAAAAGATTGGCGAGTGATGCTACGCGACATGGGTTTGAAAAGGTTGGCAAGAGAAAGCACTGATCTTAAGCTAAAGATCCAAAAAATTCTCCTACTTATTTCAGATTGAGCACGAACCAAAAAGAATGCAACTCGCCGAAATTCCCGGCGAAACGGCTCATGAAATCCCGATTCAGAAAAAGTAAAAGTCCCCCAGATCCCCATTGTACATATTGTACAACCATTTTGCTTTCTTTGAATTTTTTAAATTGAATGAAGATGCGTGAGAATTTATTGTAGGGTACAAACAAATTTCATAAATTGAAACGAATGCACGCTCAAAATGGTACACCGGTAAAGTCACATGATTTCATGCTACATAGATGAAAGCTCAAGTTCCTAACATTATATATATGAAAGCAAAAAAACCGAATCACTCACAAAAATGAAAGCATGAAGTTGATGATCAAATTTAACGGGAGCTGTCCTGTGATCCTTCTTTGGTTCACTCACTGGTATCCTCCTAAAATTTAACAGCATACTTAAAAACTGCAAAGATTTCACCTCCGTATCTTCCTTTGCCTCTTCTGTTTTATGTTTAGCATCTACTCCACCATTGTGTTGCTAAAACAAAGAGATAGTTATTATTTCCAACAGAAAACAAACATTAGTATTCTCGTCTCCTTCGCCGCTAGAGGGCTCGTCGTTTGTTTCTTCTTTATTCTCATTCGACTCCGTTTTTTCGCGTTTTGAAAGCGTTGAATCGCCTAAATGGAAAAAAGTGTAAAATATTTTCGTCTTCATAAAAGATTAAAAACTAAACTAACTGGGTTCTTGTGAAGCTGAATCCTCAGCAGGTGGAGCCTTCCTCTTTCGTTTTTCATCAGTAGTGCGCTCTTTCTTGAGACAATCTTGAAGTGAAGCGTATAAAGCATCCATTGTGAGATCGGTTTTCTAAATGATAAAATGAGCAAACGCAATTTTTAGGTATTGTAATATACTTTAAGATCTAAAACTTACCGAGAAACTTATCGTTAGCAAAAAGACTTGTGGAGCAGTGAATTCCGGACACATGGCCGACAGCTTGAGTCGTTTGGTGTCAACTCGTTCCAAGAACATATCAGAAAAGATCTAAATAATTTACGAGTTATTCATAAAAAAAACAGTTTACCTTTGAATTAATTATAACCCGTTGATTCCCAACCGATCGAGCAACTATTCGATAATGCGTTTGGGCATCTGATTCCCGCCTCATGTTGATGCGAAACTGTAAACCCATTGATTACAATAAAATACTGTTACCAACCTGACAAAGCCCTCGCTCAGCCCAAGTCTTTTTCTCCTTGTCAAAGATGTGCAATTTACAAGCAGCCTAAAAAGAAAAAAAAGCTAATTAGCATGCTTCACAAAAAACCTGAATAATATTCTTGTCATCTTCTTCGCCTGTTGTAACTTCGACTAAACTTGTTCCAGCCAATTGTTTTTCTTGTTCTTTCTTCAACGCTTCAACCACCTGTAAGGTTTTATTTGAAAAAGAAACAAAATAAATCCTTACATGAGTCGATTCCTCGCGGAATTTAGAAGTTGATTCAGTCGTCACCTACATTTCGTTTTTAAGAAAATCAAACAACAAATACCTCATCAAGCAGACTACTCTTTGGCGCAGCGGATGTTTCTTTTTGATTTTCTTGAGACTTCTCGATAGGAATATCCTGGAATAGGTAAGCAATATTTGTTCTATCATAAAAATTCTTACTCCAGACACTTTATCCTTTATCTTTGATCCGAATATGAATTTTGGTGCTTCCTGCTCTTCGGATTTTTCCTTTCCTTCGGCCGAAATTTTCCCTTAAAATAAAAATATGTACCTAAATGGGCCAGGCAAACGATACCTAAAACATCATTCAGCGTTTTCTTTTCTAGGTGAACGGGAGCAATCTTCTGATCAACATGGAAGACTGATTGACCTAAACAAAAAGTTAAGACAGAAACCCCAAGAAAACAAACTTTTCTTCCAAATATCGTCGGCTACAGAACTCAACGCAGATTGCTTTAAGTTGAAGCGTCTGACCGGCTGAGCGGGCACGTCTTTTTCGTCGCTCTTTTCATCCGAAACCTGAAAACAAAAAGCACTTGATTAATTTCAGTAAGAAATTACGTTAGCATTATCTCCAATCGGGGCCACAGCTGGTGTGCCGAAAAGCGGTTTTTGAAAGGGCCCTCCTGACATATCTGTAATATAAATTTCATTTATGCAGATGTGAACAAATAAAGAAAAAGAAAACCCGTATCAATAAATCACAAAACAATAAAATTAATCAAAATCATCAGTTGGAGCTCTTCTCTTTAGGATTCCGCTGACTTGTTCCGGTCGAATCTGACTGCCAGCGTCACCACCACCTTGTTGCGTCAATCTCCTAAACAACGAATTACATATAAAGGAATTTTAAATTTACATTTTTGGAGGTGGATTGTCCATGCGCCATTGCACGTTGTTTTGCAACAAACAAAAGCGGTCGTTCGGCAACTTGAGGCCACAACTATGCTTGATTTGAGGTAGTGGAGTCGTATTTGTGTTAGCAGCTATCTAAAGAATAAAAATTAAGCATAGCTTTTAAACTTCCCAAGCTTCTGAATTAAAGAAACGTAAAAAATTACCTGAGTTGTTTGCTCCCTAGACGGAGAATCGACTTTATTGTATCCGAGAAAGCCGCTCGCTATTCTAACGTCAGTTGCGTCTAAATTAAAAATAGGCAATCCTAAACGCGCAAAAAGAATTACCTATTGCCGACTTTCCACAGTTTGATGAGACCGCTCTTGCAGTTAGGAGCATTTCGGTGGCTGTTTGATAGGCAATCTGAATAAGTCAAAATAAATAAAACAATCGCAAAATATTTACGTCAAGCAACATATCGACAACTCGTGGATCGTATTCTTCAACGCCGAGTTCTCTAAAAAAACAAAAATACATTGATTGTCAGAACTGTAAATATTTTTTGAGGAACTCTCATAAAAAAATTCGTTTATTGCTGGGGTAGGCTAATTTCCGTCATTTTATTTGTGCAACATTGGCAACATATTTGTGCAACATTGGCGCAACTCGCTATAACTCTCTTCTAAGCCAATCTTTATGATTTTGGTGTCATTCTGTAGATCTCAATAAGTGCAACAAAATGAAACCAAAATCATAAAGAGTGGCTTACTTAGAAGAAAGTTATGGCGAGTTGCGCAAATAAAATGCCGGAAATTAGCTTATTGCTAAAAAGCTTGAAAAAAACAACTAACCTCAATAAATTTTGAGCTCGATTTACATCTTCCGACATTGGCGCTCCCGTCATCGAAAGATCCGCATCCTTGTTAGTTTGCATTTCGCCGAAATGCTACTTGAAACAAAAGTTTATCTAGCTTTTAAAAGTAAAAGAAATCCAAAAGCCGAAGAAAATTTGCCGGAGAAATGGAAAATAAAATCGTGCACATTTTTGGCTTTATGCAAAATTGTCGAAAATTTTTGCCCAGCCAGTTTTTTTTACAAAAGAGCTGCAGGGTTTATGAAGATAAAGTGTTTTAAAACGGACTTGAAAGATAAAAATTGAGCCAAAGGGAAAGATAAAAATTGAGCCAACATGCAAGTAGTTGAGCTTGTTCTACAGAAATAAAGCTCCACCACAAATTGAGAGATAGGTCTAACCAAGAGTTAAACAATTACCAATCCTAGCGCAAAAGTTTAATATCGAAAATGAAAAGCTTATCAATATAAAATGCATAAAACAGAACAAAAACATTTGTATTCAGACAGACGTAACATAGACGTAACTAATTTTTCAAAAATGTTCGTCCTTGTCTGCGTCTTTTCCTTCCTCACTCCATTCTGCACTCTCCTATTTACCCAAACTCTCTCCCAGCAACCGCTTGTTTTCCTTTAGAGATCGCAAAGGCTTTCTTTTTGATTTCCTTTTTTTTTCTCAGAAAACTGCTTGATGCCACTTGGAATTTATGATTTTTCAATTTTTCAATTTTTTTCGAAATACAATCGATCGATACGATCGAAATTTTCAGAATGTTTTTTGATTTTCAGAATGTTTTTCGAGGACGAAAGGGTACAAAAGACTGGGCCGCCTATTGTCTTTTATGTAGGAGTGTTCACATTTGCATGGTTGACCAGGTTTATAAATTAGACCAGTTACAAAAGCACAATCAACCCTTTAAAAACTTTCCTTTGCAAAATACTATCAAGATTTCCAGACGATTTATCGATGTTCTTGGAGCGAAATACTTTCGCAAGTTCAAAGATTCGGATTTGTATGTTTTCCTCATGGAGTTCATTGCAACAGCCCAAATGTGTACATGTGTCTATGAGAATGGTTCGTTTGATTACGCCGTACTAATAGAGAACTCATAAAATGATTATCGATTTCTATTTCAGGGATTATCGTCAAACACTTCGGTTGGCAAGGATTTGGAACGATCGTCGCCATATTACTCTTTGCCGGATCGTTCTTCAACCGCGGCGCTTTCGTGAACCCATTGGTGCCCATTGAGCTCTTCTACTATGGAGTGATGACGTAAATTATTTCTTCAACTATAAATGAAAATATTTATGAGGTAAAAATGAAACTTTTAGATGGCAACGCACCTTTATTACCCTTGCCGCTCAATGTCTCGGTGGTTGGGCTGCTTTTCGACTCGCGATGAACCTTTGGTTTTGGAGTGCGGATTATTCTTTGGATCATGCTTTAGCCCTTGACCCAAACTGCACACTGAGATATAAAGTTTATAAAATAATCAATATTTCTAATTAAATGTTTCAGATTGGCCCTGAATTCGTCATCCTCTGGGAATTGGTTGGAACGTTTTTGCTTCGCACTGGGATTGCCATGATGCCATTGAAAGTATAAGAGTATTCTAAAGATTGATCATCTAAAAAAAATTCTAGTTAAAGACGCTTGGAGTTCCAGTTATGGTTGCTGGATTTTTGTCTTTCGGTAATTTCATTTTAATCTTCAGATAATTTTCAATTACAGCAATGGTGTGGGTGGGCATACCGGCATTGAATCCTTTGGTCGTTTCATCTCGACTCTGGGGTTGCCGTGGAGTTGATGATCAATGGTTTGTAATGAATTGCAAATATTCAGGCAATCACCGCGATGGCTAGACATGATCCTGGCTAGACATGGGCACTAGAAACTAGAAACGCTTTCAACTTGCTTCAAACCTGCCCGATTGATATAATCTATAGCTCAAAAAATAGAGAATCTCAAGAGCTTTCGAATGGACCAAAGCACACTTTAAAATATCAACGCTAAAAAAAGTTACAGTGGTTTATAACCTGACAGTTCGTCATTTTATTTCATTTTGTAGTTTATAGTGACCATGGCCTGCTCAGGGATGTTCCAGGTTCTGAAAGTCAGGTCCAACTTTTTTAGAACAAGGCAGACCAATGTTAGATCAGACTGGACTAGCTTAAGGCAGGCTTAGGCCTAAGACTGGCTTTCAGTTTTTTGAACACATCGAATCAGATTAATGGGTTTAGTACAGCTCAATGAATCTGTACGACTGTTTGTATCAGAACTCCAATTACTATCACTATCACAGTAATCCAGGTTCATCCTCTACTATTGGATTATCCCACTCATCGGTTGGCTGTCAGCTTCCAAAGTCACGGGTCCATTGATTCGTCCAAAGGTTAAAGCTTTTTAATCAACAAAAACCCTCTCAATTTAGTCCCAACCTCAACCAGCCATTCAACAATCGAAAGGAAAGAAGAAAACCCATCAATTCGCTTCAAAGAGTGGAAAGAGAAAGACCGAGTAAATGCCTACCGTAAATACTGTAATAGCACCCCACCCCCATAATGACGGTGTGGAGTGTTGTGTAGTCTAGCTTTGAACGAGTGTTTCTCAACACTGGTTTATACTACAATGCGCGCTTAGGTATCAAAAAATAGCTGAAATTCAGGGCTATTTTTTGATATCAAAGACGCATTTTTTGAAAGTACGGGCGCTTTGAAAAAAATGAAATACTAAAAAGCTTTTGCGACTACGCGACTGTACGAGGGGGGTGGGGTACTATTACAGTATTTACGGTATATCGACAGTACTTTTATATCCTATCTATGTGATATTTTTTATTTATATTCTCTTCTTGTGCCTAAATTTTATTTATCTACTTCACTTTTGTTATGGGTATGGCATAAGCAACTTTTGGTTTTACGGTATTTTCTAGGAATCTTTTATATTAGTGCCATTCAATAAACATGCATCTATAGACAAAAAGACATACAAAATTGTTTCTGAGAATATGAAAAGTCGTAGATTTAGTGCAAATTACATAAACGATAGGTTACAGTAGTGTCATTGCAAAAAAAAATTAATTTTACATTCAACTGATTAGTGATCATTTAGCGCTCATCCAAAAGCAAATCACCTCCGTAACGAGATTTTTCTTTTACTTCTTCTATATTCTGACTCTGGATTAAACGATTGAAAAGCGCAGCAATAACGATAGAAAAATGGGAGAATGACACGAAGAGATCCACAATTTTATTGATTTGCTTTCTCGGATTCCATCGAGTTTCAGAAAAACATCGATCTGAAATCTGAAAAAGAGGGTCTATCCCAAAACAGCGCCGACCAAAACAGCGCCGACCAAAACAGCGCCAATGAAAAAACGCTCAAAACAGCGCCGATGCAAAACAAAGTTTTTTTTCTTTTACAATGTACAATTCTTTTTTTTTATTAGCAGCTTTTAATTTTAATAATTTATTTAAAAATAACATGACCACCAACAATAAACGATAACAATTAAATGATGCATAAAAAACATCAAAATAGCATCAAATTAATAGTCTAAGAGACTCTGAAACATCATAACACTAGCGATGATGAACATAAACGGCTAGTGATCCGCTTTCAAGCTTTCAAGTGGTCCGTAGTAGAAATAAAAAGTTAGCGAAAACATTAAAAAACAGGCCGTAAAAGGAAAAAAATTGTTATTTTTGGTTAAAATCACTTTAATAAGCACTATCGCAGGTTTCTATGCGTAAAGCTTAAAAAAATCGGATTCTCCACCTTTTTTACCCCAAAAACACAAAAAGTAGACAGAAAAAGTTAAAAACAGCAAAGAAAAAGCAAAAGCAAAAATCTAAAAAATATTTTTTTTGCTCGTCGCTGTTTTGGGCGTTTTTGCATTGACGCTGTTTTGGGCGGCGCTGTTTTGGGTACGGCGCTGTTTAGGAGGCGCTGTTTTGGGCGGCGCTGTTTTGGCGGCGCTGTTTTGGGATAGACCCGAAAAAGAGATAGATTATCGATTTCGATCCGGATTTTAGATTATTTTACCTTTCGCCAAACTTTTCAAGTTGTCGACTAAGCTGTTTACCAAAAGCTGTTTCTGATTGCAAAGCGACATGACGAGCACCGATGCGACGAAGGTACTCGACGATCGTCTCAAAAAAATCCTTTTGAATATTATTAGGTTGTTCGGATATAAACAAGCGTTGCTAAACTTATTGTTGTGAGAGAAGCTTTTAAAACATGTCTTTCTGTATTTAAAACGCTATCTTGTGCATATTTGGAATCTTTTTAAACAGATAATTTCTTATTTTTAAGATCTTTTTTTCTTGCTTTAGATGACCGACCTCAAATATATCAAGTTTGCGTTCGCCTACTTTACGACTTCAAACTGGGCAAAACAGTAGCGAAATCCCATTGAGATTTGGTCAAAGCATTTGGGAATGATGTATTGTCCGAAAGCCGATGCCGAGCCTGTTTTCAACGCTTTAGGAATGGTGATGAAAGTCTCGAGGATGATGAATACTCTCGTCGACCTCAAACGGTAGACAACGATACTTTGAGGGCTGCAATCGAATCAGATCCATGTCAAACGACGCGTGAACTTGCTCAACAGTTTCTATGTTCAAATTCTACTATTGATGGCCATCTGCACGCCATTGGAAAGGCGATCAGATGCGGGAAATGGCTTCCTCACGAGTTAAGCAGTGCAAACGCCCGTTTATATCCGAAGAACCTAATATTAGAGAAAATACGGTAATATTAGTAGATGAGTGTAGATATTAGTAAGGGCTGCAATCGAGGCTGCAATCGAATCAGATCCATGTCAAACGACGCGTGAACTTGCTCAACAGTTTCTATGTTCAAATTCTACTCCATCTCCACGCCATTGGAAAGACGATCTGATGCGGGAAATGACTTCCTCACGAGTTAAGCAGTGCAAACACTCGTTTATATCCGAAAAACCTAATATCAAATTGACGCTTATTATAGCAAGCTTTTTAAAAACTGATCTCATTAGTATTGGGAGTTTTTTTTTCCAGTTTTTCTTTATAAACATGTCTCATTTAGTTCATTTAGATCATTAAATCATTAAAACTCGTTAAATGCAAAATGATTGAAAAACAATGAAAAGTCGGTTTTGTTTTGCCACTTTTCAAGCGCTGGTTAAAGCTGGAAATATGTGTTTTTTTTTTAAATTATCTATCCTCTCTACTTTAATTTAATACCTAAGCGGGTAGAAACAAACGTTTAAGCGCCGAGATATGAGCGTTTGTTGGAGAGTAAATTTAGACTACGAGACGCTTCTATAAAGGGCTCTTCTATTAGAAAATTTACGTTATATGTTTACCTATTAACATTTTGTTATCATTTTTATCATTTAGATCTTTGAGATCAAGCATTTGAATTGATGAAACATCGGATAAAAGAGAAAGAAATTGTGAAATTTGATGAAGTCTAATAAGAACTGTCCAGAAGTCTAATAAGAACTGTCTAACTGCCAGAATTTGGAATCGACTCCCCAGAGTTTTGAGAGAGTCCAGTAGTCTCGAAACCTTTAAATTATCTGTAGATGATCTTGATCTTGAAGCTCTAGTGGATCCTTGACGTGGCTCTAGTGGATCCTTGACGCTCTAGTGGATCCTGTGCTACCCACATTTTACATATATTATATCGTGTTTCTTTTTATCGGCCCTTTTCGTGTTATGTGTATGAATTGATGTGTTTTAATCTTAATTCTAACGCACTTTATCTCAGGTCCTGAATAAAGTATCTACAGGGTGGCTGAAAATTACGTGCGCGCAGCATCTGACATAGTTTTAAACAATGTATAAAGCATTACTATACTCATCTTTTTGTGTTTTAATATTCTTTTTATCGTTGTCCATTATTTTTGTTATTTATTTTTGTTAAAAAAAGTTGTTTTCTAGGACAAACATTACACTTGTGATGACAAAGACGTGCGCTAGTCGGGACGCAATCGCACAGCTGGCGACGAGCGGCATGAAGAACTCGTCGATCGCATCGAGGCTTGGGGTGGCTCTGAGGACCGTCCAGAAGATCGTAAAGCAATGGAAAGATGAGGGGCATGTTCAGTCCAAGCCCGGAAGAGGAGGAAATAGGACCGTTAACACCCGAAAGATGCGTGGGATCATCAAGAGGAGGATCGAGCGAAAAGACGATCGTAGTTTGAACAAGATGGCAAAACAGCTTCAAATTTCGCTTCAAAGAAGCGAATTGAAGCCTGTATCAAAGCGGATTGCCCTTAGTTTCTTCATAAGGTAAAATTCACTACTTTTCCAGTGGATTTTGCCCTTAATTGCTTCATAAGTTCGCCACTTCGAAAATTTCTTGTAATTATTAAATGCTTTTGTTACAACTATTATATAAATAAATATTTTTACATGTTCTTTGAAAGAAAATTAAATTATGGCATTTTCTTTGGCGCACATAATTTTCAGCCACCCTGTATATATAAAGTCGTTGTCTATTTAAAGACTTTTCTTTGGTTTACACTTGAATAAATCGTGTTTCATGATAGAATTCTTATAAAGGCAAATAAATTGGTAAACAAGCACTTTGTTCAGCGTTGAAATTCGTTTTATTCATGTTTACGAAGAAAATTTGAATCATTTGAATCGCTTTAAATGATAACTTTGTCAATACAGAAATTTTTTTTGATTTGATGCTGTTGTATGTGGAAAATTTCACATTGTTATTCGCACAATGTACATGAAAATTTATCGAGTTTTTGCTTTAGAAAGGAAAGAATTAAAGAGAAAAAGAAAAGCTTATCAATTTGGAGTTTTTAGTTTTGATATGAGAGGAAAAGGGAATTGGAATTGGAAAGGGGACACCTAAAGGTATCAATGTTTTGAGGGGTAAAGGGGGACTCTCTTCAATCACTCCTTTCAATCACTCTCTTCATTCGACTACTGCTTTCCGATTGATTTTGAGATTTGTGAGAAATCTTTTGTTTATTTCTATTTATACTAGAGTTGGATTAGGTTTTACTGATTGTAAGAATTCAGTTTTATCCCTAGACTCCCCTAGACATTACCCAAATCTTCTGTGAAATTCGGAGATTCTAATGTTTAAATGGAATCCGTGGAAACAAATTTCCATTTAAACATTAGAATGTCTCCCTAATCTCTACTTTTTTTCTCCGTTTTCTAAAACTCGTCTTTATTAACTACCGTAATCTTGTCTCTTATCGAATCGAATTAATTTTTGGGGGTAGGCTAGTTTCCGCAACAGGGTCATTTGCGCAACTCGCCATAACTTTCTTCTAAGTGAGCCAATCTTTATGATTTTGGTTTCATTTTGTTGCACTTATTGAGATCTACAAAATGACACTAAAATCATAAAGATTGGCCTACTTAGAAGAAAGTTATGGCGAGTTGCGGAAACTAGCCTACCCCAATTTTTGTATTCTTTTTAAACTCTAGAAACAAATCAAAATAGATAGATTTGCTGAAAAATAGAAGCAAGATTACTAAAATTTATAACATAACTCTTTTCAGACAAAAAGACAAAATGCTCTTGCAGAGGATAGTCTTTTTCTTGTTGATCTCCTCGATTCTCACCCTGCCCACAACAACACCGAAATTAACATGGAAAGAAGTAAACATTTCAAATATTTTAGGGTAAACTTTTGGAAATCAATAGCAAAGCAAAAAAAAATCTCAGAAATATATCAGTAGATTCTCTATTTTCTATAATCGTCTTTTTCCAGCGTCTTGAGGCGAAACGAGCCCAAATCCGCGATCAAGTCAATCAAGAAGTCGATGCGTTAAGACAGGTTTCAAGAAAAACTTAGGAAATTTAATGTAAAACATTTGTACTTTGTTTATTTCTAGAAAATCACCGACAAAAAAGCCGCCTACGACACGGAGAAAGAGAAAAATCGCCGAAACGATCGATCAATTTTACAAAGAAGCCGAAGAGGTTAGCTGCATAGCTTTTCATGGAATTAATTCGATCGATCGATTTAAAACTAGCTTTTTTTTCAGCAATTCCAAGAACGTCTCGATAAGATCAATCAATGGAAAGAGTCACAAGTTGCGCCATTTGCTTTGGAGGTGAAAAGGGAAATCTTTTCAAATAAACATTTCATTTTAGGTCGAAGGAGAGCCCTCGTTGTATGAGACGGTTCGGGGTACGGTATTGAAAAAGACCGACAGACAAACAGACAGACAAACAGACAGACAGACAGCCAGACAGACAGACAGACAGACAAAACTCTGATTGAAAGTGTTTGACCCAATCTCTTTCACCCCTACCAAAATCCAAAATAAAAAGTATTGCTTACGATTAGACTAGATACGCTCAGATACTACTTACAGTCAGCTAGTCAGCTAGTTAGAATCCATTTACGTGCGGTTTAAAGGGACTGGCGCGAAAGCGGCCCGGCGCGCTTTCTAAAGCGTGGATACGCTACCGTACCCCGCACAAAATTCCCCTTTTGCCATTCTTTTCAATTTTTTGCATTTCTGCACTCGTGAATGTTGTCCGGCCTCTATGCCAAGTCCCGCTACGTTTTCTTCCCCTTCGAATCTATTATATTCTTGTAGCGCGTTTTTAAAGTACTCTCTCTCCCCTCTATTGTTCCGCCCATATTTCCTGTTTAAATTTCTAAAATGGTTCTGCTTCGTTCCTCTCGGCTCCCCTCTACTCCATTGTCTTCAAAAATTGCGTGCCGTATAAACCTAATTAAACCAACTCCTTTTAAATAAAACGCAAATCTAAATAATCTGCCACAGCGCGATCTTCTTTTTACTTCGTCTTGGGTTTCGTATCAAATTATTTTAGAGAAGGGTTGGTAAGTCTAAAGGTGTTAGGTAAGGGAGTTAGTTACTAACTAGTTAGACTTACCGTAATACCTGTGCTAGAAAAGCTCGCAATACATGTTTTTCTACTTTGGCTAAATTCACTACAGTGCCCCACTACCATAAACTCTAGAAGTAAAAGTATGACTCTCTAGTTAGACTTGAGATTCTTTTCTACTTACTTTTTACAAACTACTCTATGAATTCTAAAAGCTACTCAAGTTACTGCAATTTTTTTTTCTTAATAATACTAAATAGCTCGATCAATTTTTAGCGAAATATGAGAGCGCGAAGAACACGAAAAAGGAACAATTGAACACAGAAATCGACAAGATTTTCCCTGGATATAAACAGGTGAAAAAAGGATTTTAAGCTGCTGAAAGTAACATTTTCTATGTTATCGTTGTCAATATTTGTAGGCGGTTGACGAGTACGAAGCACAAGAAACCGCGAAAAAGGAGGCTCGACGAGAGAAATTCGATGAACTCCGAGAGAATGCCCGCGTGAAATTCAATGAAACAAAACAGGTTTAAGATTTAGAGAAAAACAAAACTCATTTTTTTTTCTAGAAATTTGATGAATTCGCACAAGAGGCAAACGCGAAATTGAAAGCTGATTGGGAAACAAAAAAAGAAGAACACAAAGCGAAAATGGAGGTGAAAAAAATAAGCTTTCGTTTATTATTCATTTATCATTTATCAACGCTTTCAGAAAGCTCATGAAGTTTTGTCGAATGTGAGCGTCATTGTAAAGGATGCCACGCATTCACTTCTCAACAAAATTAAAGAAGAGAAAAAAGAGGAAGCTGCAGTGAAATTGGTGAGAAAAGAACTGATTTTATATTTTATTTTTGATATTTTTCTTATCTTAACATCATCCTGAACCGTACTTTGAGCTCGTAAACGCACCCTTTCTAGTGCACTTAATTCTTTATTTCTAACCCAAGAAAATGAAGATCGAGTGCGCCAGAAAGAATGTGTTTACTCGAACATAAAGTACAATGTTCGAAGAGATGTTGAAGAGAATCTAGTTTCGAGTTCCGATTATTCTAGTTGCAAGTCGCAATTTACTGATCGGTTTATAGTAGACATTCAGTATCTATGACACAACAACATTTGTCTTCTGTCTTCTGTAAATCAAGAATTCCCTAATTTCAGCAAGCCGCTCAATGGATCAGCGACAAAATAAAGAACAAAACGGAAGAGTGGAAGCAAAAGCATCCATTGGCTGCAGCAAGGAGTTTCTCTGATGTGTCCAATTTCCTCAATGAGTGGGTTTTTTTTAATAAGAATTTGAAAATCATTACGGCAAATTACATCTTGTGAAATCAATCCAAAATTTGATCTTTTCTCAATCCTTTCAGTGCCTCCGGTGCCTCGGGATGGCAAACAGCGACCACGATTCTGATGATCATCTGTTTTGTGATCACAATCGGATTGTTGATCTTGATTTTCAAACAGGTAGAATGGAGAATTTTGACCCAAAACCGGCACTTTTCCAGATCCGAAGCCGTCAATTGTATCAAAAACTCGATGGAAACACATTCCAACAAACAAATCAACACTCGATGGCACAACCAGGGTATTGATAATATTGATAATATCTAAATTATATTAATTAAAAGAATATCTAATAATATAATGAATATCGAAAGATTAAACCTTCATTATACAGATAGTATTACCGTAAATACTGTCATAGTACCCCACCCCCATAATGACGGTACGGAGTGTTGGGTAGTCTAGCGTTGGACGAGTTTTTCTCGACATTGGTTTAAGCTACAATGCGCGCTTAGGTATCAAAAAATAGCCCTGAATTTCAGCTATTTTTTGATACCAAAGACGCATTTTTTGAAAGTATGGGCGCTTTGAAAAAAATGAAATACTAAAAAACTTTTGCGACTACGCGACTGTACGAGGGGGATGGAGTACCATTACAGTATTTACGGTATTTCTTTTTTTCTTCAGAAAATCAAAATCAGATCTCGTCTTTCAGATACAATCCTTCATTCAACAACTCCTCGTCGACTTTTGTCCCCAGTCGTGAGGCACTCCGAAAACAAGACTATCCCCAACTTTTCTAAACAATAAAATGAAAATTTTAAATTTTAATTCTCTTGCTTTAGTTCAGCATAAATATCAAAAAAAACTTACTCAAACAATTTCAACGCACAGTACACTTTAGATCGCACTTTAGATCACACTTTAGATCACACTTCCTTGACCACACTTCCTTACAGTAATCCAAATCCAAATCAAATAGTTTCAAATCTTTAATAAACCGGTCAAAATATTGTAAGATCCAAGTGATTGAAGACCAGAACTGCTCCAAAAAAAAGCCATAAGTTGAGATCAGATCAGGATAACTACCGTAATCTTTCTAGCCTACAAATCTCAGGCCCAGACCAGGCTAAAAGTTATGAAAGCCAGTATCATAGTCCGTTTATAGTCTGGAAATTTGATCTTAAGACGAGTTTTGTTACGGAATGGCCTAAAACTATGATATGAAGGCCATTCTTGAACTAAAACCCAATTTTGTTGGATACGCGAATTTTCGAGAATTGGACAATAGTCGAAACAGACCGAAATATATGGGAGAGATGGGATATGTGACAGAATTTATGCTGGTGAGGAAAAGGAAAGGAAAGGAAAGGAATTGAAGGGAAGCGGGAAGATGAAAGGGGCACCGACAAGGGAGGGGAAGGCTTTGGACTCGCGATTTGTAGAGACCCTGCAAGGGATTGGGGTACGGTCGATCTAGGGAAAGAGCTCAAGAGTATTTGCTTTAAACGATTGCATTTGAAACTTAGATTAGACTCCGATAGACAGTTACAGAGCCAAGGTCTAGTTCTTTAGGAGTACCTTCTGGTACTTCTGGTAAGTTCTGGTACCTTTAGGAGATCTAAGAACTGGCCCAGTATCTAGGACTCAGACTAGATATCGTACTGCATTTGTACCGCACTGCAGTATAGTCTTATCAGATATAACAGTTAGATCGATCAGAGACAGGGATTGACATCGGAAATCTAACAAAAAAGCAACTCAACGAACTAATGTTATTGGTTATTGAACTAGTTTCTACTACTTAGTTACTACTACTACTACTACTACTTAGTTACTACTACTACTACTACTACTTAGTTACTACTACTACTACTACTACGACTACTACTTTCTACTACTACGACTACTTAGAACTAGTTACTTAGAACTTAGTTTCTTTTTATTGATTCCAAAAAGTTTCTGCAAACATTCCCTTTCACTCACAATATGCAGAAAGCGGTTAGATGAAAGGATTTGGGAAGAGTTGCGAGGAAGGAATGGCCATGAGATCCCACACAAATCCCCTCAAAGAATACGGTCAATTTATGGAGGGCTGGGAGAAATGAGGGAGAATACTTGGATCGAAGGGAGAACACTTTTAGGTTTGGACTAGGTTTCGATAGGATTCAGTCTTCTTCTTTTTGTCTTTCTTTTAGGCTTACGGTACTTTTCAAGAGTTGGCACGTGATATAATGAGTCCCTAAGTGATTTAATATTAGGGATGTCCGGATCCGGATCTCTACACAAACATACAAAGAACGAAAAGACGACTACGCGACACTCCAATAGACCGTTCGTAGTAGTGTCGCGTAGTCATCTTTTTGTTCTTTTTATGCTTGCGTAGAGGTTCGGACATCCGTGGCCCCTATGCACTTATATCTATCCTCTTCAGCCTTTCAATAAGTTGCTAGATGTATTGCTTAATTGAAAAATTACTATCATTATTCGAAAAAACATCTACCGTAAATACTGTAAATACTGTCATAGTACCCCATCCCCATAATGACGGTGCGGAGCGTTGCGTAGTCTAGCTTTGAACGTGTTTTTCTCGACACTGCTTTATGCTACAATGCGTGTTTAGGTATCAAAAAAATAGCTGAAATTCAGGGCTATTTTTTGAAAGTACGGATGCTTTGAAAAAAATGAAATACTAAAAAACTTTTGCGACTACCCGACTGTACGAGGGCGGTGGGGGTACTATTACAGTATTTACGGTATGTCACTGTTGTTCCAGTGTGTTCACATATAAACTAAGGAATTTAACTTTGTTTTTTTTTTGATTATCAGATCTATTGAAAAATAATTCATGATATTTTTTGATGGAAAAGGCACATGATTCTTCTATAACTTTGTTAATTGATAACTTCAAAGTAAGCACAATTGAATGAATTTCCTTTTAGAGTGTGATGCGTGTTTTTCTGTACACGAAGTACCAGTACATCACTGGTACTTTGTACATCACTGGTACTTTGTACACCACTGGTACTTTGTACATGCACTGGTACATCACTGATGTACCAGTGCACACGGTGGCATTTCGCTTGTTTCAACTTCTCGAATTTTGTGAATAGGTGAGGAATCGAGTGTGTGTGTGTGTGTGTGTGTGCTAGAAAGCACAACAGCTGAAGCCTTCTTGAGTCCACGAAACTCAAATCTATTTGAGCCCAGGTGTTCATCGGGCAAACCTTTTTTTCAAATCTTGTGCACCCTCAAATCTATAAAATGTCCCCCAGTGTGTCCCTTCTTTTCATTCTTTTCTTTTCCTTTTTCCTCGTTGATCGCCCATTAACCTTGAGAGGCGACGATCGTAAATTTGCATAGGAAAGAGAATCTTTCGCTTATATTTTAAAACGTTTCTCTTTTTGAGTTGATCGAATCGATTCCCCTTTCAATAATTGAAATCGAGATTGAAATGAAAGTGTTTTTTTTGTTTCTTTCATTCAAAAACACCTTTTCCCCTTATCGCAAATGTTATTACATGGGAATTGGCTCGTAAAATCGCTCTTTCTCACCATTTCTTTAAATTAAAGAAAAAAAAATAAACTTGAGAAATCGATTTGTGAAAGAAATTTGAGAAAATGTGAACCCTGGTTGTTATTTAAGTTAATAGATATCAAGATTTGGGTAATGTAGATTTCCAATCTGGGTTCTGGCCTGTCCTCATTGCAGCAAGGCTCAGAAAAAAGTTGTAAAGAATTTGTAACAGTTTTTCTTTACACAAAAATTTGTAAAGAAGTTGAGATTGATGTTGATAGTATTTTACGAATAATAACAAACCGATCATATAAATCTATAAAGGCTATAATATAAAGTAATCTATAATATAAAGTTTGGGATATCTTTTGTCGTTGTCAGCAACCGTGCACCGTGCAGCCGACGCGTGTTTGCCTTTTTGATGAATGGAGACACAGCTCGGATCTACAGGGTAAACGGGCACTGTATGGGGGAAAGGATGTTGAAAAGATGAAGAATAGTGCAGAGAATTGAATAAATAAAGCAATATTAGTTAGCAATATTAGAAAAAAGAGGTTACTTACGGAGCGAGTTTCCCAAAGCGGCAGAAGAACTGACAATGAACATGAAAGAATATGAAAAGCTCGAAAAGGAAAAGGTAACGAGAAGAGAGTAGAGAAATCTCTTTATGCTTGATGACAATTGCGACAAAGAGGGGGAAATGCATAACTAATTGTTGAATTGAAAATTTATTATATGAATATAGCGTACGGTATCGGCTTTTGGCTGATATTTGACTGATTTCTGACTGTACGTTCAAGTACTGGATGGTAAAAGTCGGAAAGAACGGTTACAGATGTTTGTTTAAAAGAAAGAGCAATGATTACTTTTGAAAAGGTAACCGTAGCTATCAGAATAGCTATCAAGCTATCAAGTTCAGCTATCAAGCCTGAACAAATTCCAGAATAGCTACCAACTCCAAAAAAAGGGCTGGAAGAACTCCAAATTCTAGAGTCCGGTACCCATGTATATTGTGTACCTAGACGATTTACCACAAAAACAACCGGTTTTTGCCTGGCATAGGTGTACAAGGAATAGAATAAAATGTGATTGTAGATGATGATGATTGTAGAATTGGCTGAGGTTGGGGAGTATGTGAGATTTGAAATGAGGGGAGGGTGGACCCTTCCCTCAGCCTCAGCACTCCCCTCCACCCCTTTCTCTCCTAAACTCTCCGATCTCTTCGCCCGTAAATTTTACGAGCGAACGACATGAGGAAAGAGGGAAAATAAAGGAGAAAAAGAGAGAACTCCCTCTTCTCAGCAACAAAATTTGAGGGGGGAAAGGATGAAAGAAATCACTGTCACTCCTTTGAAAAAAGCAGATACAAAAAAGCATCTTTGAATCGAAAATCGAAGGACTAAGGTGCCCTTTGTGTCTTTAAGACTAAAAAGTCTTTAAGATTATCCACTCAACTTGTTACCGTAATTCTTTTTCTTTAGTACTAACCAATCATTTCTACTTGATCCCTTTGGAATACAATTGAGAAATGAATCTGGAAAGTCTAGAAAGTCTAGAAAGTCTAGAAATCTAGAAAGTCTAGAAATCTAGAATCTAGAAAGTTCAGAGCCAGAGCATTTCCTTGTGAGTAACTTGTTTTCTAGAAGGTGAGCAATTCGGAAAGCTACCTTCAGTAATCTCCAATAATCTTTCCTTCAGTTTTTTCTTCATTTTACTAATTAATACTTAATTCCATTCGATTCACAGTTTGATTCCGCATCGAATAAGATCAAAATTAATCGACCAAATTAAAGGTAAATTGGACAAAATCTGAAGGAAAGATTACGATAGTTTTCCGAATTGACCACCTTTTAAGCGTATTACTTGCAAGGAAAACTAGAGTGGATCTAAAGCAATCGAAAATCTAATAAAGACAATTTTTCTAAGCTTTAGCCAGTCACTTTCCAAATCACTTCCACATGTGTTCGAAGCTGGGAAAAAAAAACAAGAGAGAAAATGGCTTTAGTACTCAAGTGAAAGTGAAATTTTCTTACAAAACTTTCAACATTGTCGAATAGATTTTGTTTCTTGAAATGAATCTAGAAAGTTCAGAGCCAGAGCATTTCCTTGCGAGTAATTTGTTTTCGAGAAGGTGACCAGTTCTCTTCTGATGCACTCAATCCCAACCAATCCACATATAGTCAGGAGTTCACTAAATCCATCTGATTTCATAGAAGAAAAAAAAGAGATTTTCTCAGCGATAATCGTTCAATTTTGCGGCTTTTCGAAGGTTCCTCCTGTACAAGAAGGTGTTAAAAATTGAATTGGTGAAGTTGGGATTATAGGAAAAAGAAAAAGAAAGAGAAAGAGAGATAGGGATTGTAGCTGTGTGATGTGTGGTACAAATATTGAAAATATTTGGATTATCAAAGGAATTATCAATACATTATCAATACATTATCAATAAGCTTAGCCATTCTCAATCTCGAGACGCGCTGAATATTCAAAATCAGAGCCTTGACCCATAGAATATAAAGAAAGAAAAGGAAACTAAAGCAATCAAAAATCGAAGGGGATGATTGTGTGTGAAAAAGGAAAAACGAAGGATAAGAGAAGAAAAGAAACGAAATGAAAAGAGAAGAGAAGAGACCGGCCGGGGAAACGCGTAAAATTTTATGGGTCCTTCGGCCCTGGAGGGAAGGGGCACTGAGGCACTGAGGCGGTACTGCAACTGATGCTAGCGGTCTCTTTGCTGTCTTTACTTTCCACTTCTTTCCCTTTTCTTATTCAGTGTACACACAAGTTCAGTGCCATTCCCCCTTCCCGATCACATTTAATTGCTTTTAACACTTCGATCGGTCATCGTTCAAAATTCTTTCGTCATGGTGATTTTGTGAAGATCATTTCATTATTAATACGAAAAGTTGCTCATTTATGCGATAAAAGTTTAAAAAATGGTAAAGTTGTTGCAGAATAGAAAATAGATGACGGTGAAAATGTAAAAATAGTTGAACCCTTTGCATACTGTAGTTATGCAGGCTGGGATTTCAACTGTAGAAATCAAAAACTCTCACAAACTTTCGGTGATAACAAAATCAAATTTTTCAACTTCTGGTTCAGGAGAGCTTTCGGAAAGCTACAGTAATCATTGAAGATTACGCTAGATTGCTTTCGGAATGACAAATTAAGTCAAATTAAGTTTTTGTGACCCAAAGAGCCACAAAAACTCAAAATTAAAGCCTGATTTTTGTCAAAAAAAAAAAACAATCCTGAGACAAATGAGTAAGGAGAAATGATAGAAAAAAACGATAGGAAAGAAATAAATCTGAAGGGGAAATTGTGGAAGAAGATGAGAAAGGGAAAGAAGGTGAGAAAAAGAGGAGTGAATGTTGAATTCCTTTAATTTATCGTTTCTATTGAAGTAAACCGAAAATGGAAGGAAAAGAAAGGAATTGAGATGAAAAGAAAGAAAAGAAAATAACACGCAGAAAAGACATCGAAGAGGCGAAGGGGAGATCCAAGCCAACCCTTTGATCCCGCCGACCAAAGGGGAAATCAAACGAATAAGACTTTCAAATAACCAAAATGACTTAAATGCCTTAAATAAAAATGTCTTCCTTAAACCCTTTTTTTCAATTGATTCAGATGTTGCATCTGGGACAAATCTACTTCTTTTTTACCCTGAATTTATTCTCAATTATATGCAAAGAAAGCACAAAAATGTCACAATTCGCAGAAAAAAACCAAAAGCACATTTAAAAATGCCTATTAACCGAATACTTTACTCGTACAACCCAAAAGAAAAACGACTATTCGGTACACGATTATGAAATGTTAACTGTAAATTGATCCATTCATTTTCCCATTGATCGATCGAGTAATCATTTACCCTTTCCTTTATCGGCTTCTTGCACTTCTTGTTTCACCTTCTCGTAGTCGTGTCGAAATGTTGGAATCGCTGGCATTGTTTTGAATACATCAGTCCAATCCACGTTCACCGTCTCCGTATAGGTTGGCTAAAGAAAGAACAATTGAATAGCCCAAAAAATAAACTTAAACTTTTGATATTCTGTTTCCCACGTTAAAACGTAGACTTTTAACGAATGATTAAATTTTCTAAACCCACATTTTGTCTTGTGATCCATTGCCAAAATGTCTTTGTATCCGTTGTGTATTGTTTTTCGAGCACTTGTGCGATTTCCTTCATTTTTGGCCTAAAGAAAATAATTATGAAAGAAATCAATAACTCAATATCAACTCCCACCTCAGCTCAGGCTTCCAGTGCCAACAGAGAGAGCATAACTTCCAAAGTTCGGGTGGGATTTTCTCGCCGCTCATTCGATAATCCTTTTTCAACGCCATGATCAACTAAAGCATAATATCTAAACAAGAAATAAACAAAAATCCTCTTACTTTTCGTGCATCCGTTCCACGGTCACCATATGGAGGTTTTGCATGATTGAAAGTCTAAAACAAGGAAACTTTCACCAAATTTTATCCGCACTTACCTCCCAAATCATGATTCCAAATGTCCAAACATCTGTTTCCGAGCAGAAAATTTTTGCTTTAAACGTTTCAGGCGCAAGATAGGTGATTGGCACATTCGTGAGTTTCTTCAGCTGCAGTTTTCCCACAACCGACATTCCAAAGTCACTAAAATCTTTTACAAGCTATAACTCTTTGAAAACTACAACTTTACCTAATCTTTGCCACATTTTTATCTGTGATTAACGTATTTCGCACGGCAACATCGCGATGTGTGATCTACAGGAAAGAAAACACATACATGTAATAAAGTAATAATAATAAAAGTTACATTATTTTCATGAAGAAAAGCGAGACCTTTTGCAGCACCGGAAACCCAATGGATGAGCTCGGCTTGGGTCGGTTCAGGCTGCAATTTTTATAATAAAATCATTAATGTTCAATAACCAACCCAATCATAATGTGCATTCTCGTATCTTTCCTTGATTCGATCTTCAATGCTTCCGCCTAAACGCAATTTTTTTTGTCAAGAAATGATTCCTCACCAGCACAAAATTCCATCACGATCATAATCGGTGTTTCGTAGCAAGCGATGGCCAAGAAATGCACGAGATTCGGGTGATTGTATTTGAATTTGCGCATCATTTGAGCTTCCTAAAAAAATGAAAAGATTCATAAAACAATTGGCCCACTCACTTTAATAAAGACTTCATTTTCCTCGGGTGAATTGCTGTGAATAATCTTCACGGCTGCCTAAAAGTAGTATTATATAATGCAATATCATTATATATTATTGACGTGACTTTTCATTACGGTAGCACTTCTCAACAATAACATTAGCTTTAAAATTTTACCCAAATTCGTCGCAGCAATCCAATCCTATAACGTGCCTTAAATACCGATCCAAAATTGCCAGAGCCGAGCTTCTTGACTCTAAAATAAAAACAATCAATAGCAAAAAAAGCACTCAATTTACCGTTGTATCTGCTCATGATATATCTCCCAGTCGTCTTTCTCGATCCCATACATGATGAATTTGTTCTAAAATAGGTAAGCTCTGCAAAATCAACCAAAAAACACGCAAACTTTCCTCTTTTGCCTTGATCGACACTTTATAATCACGGTGATAGGCGATAAGAGCTAAAAAAATGGTTTATAAATGGTTTTATTAGACAAACTCACCTCCAGGACTATCAAAACAATACTCGTTGACGAAAAATACGCGTTGCTTTCGTGTGAATCGAATTTTCACCTAAAATTTTCAAAAATTGGAATGAGAATTTCCCCAAAAATCACCTCCTCAATTCCCCCATCATCGTCGACAAACATGATGATATATTTTCCGTCCTAAAATAAAAACATACAAAAAACCCCAGAAAGCATTTACCAAAGGACGAATGTTGGTGAGTTGATGTGCAAAAAGCTGACGCACGATGAATTGACCCAAAAACGATAAGGTTTTCACAAATAACGAAACAATTCTTACCTGGTTCCTTCAAAAGCTTCTCGCCTTCTTCTTTCTCTATGAACGAGTGAAAGTAGCTTTCCGATGTGAATTCCTCTAGACCTCCAGCCTAAATCTAGAAATTAGTTTTTGATTTTGATCGAAAAAGCTATATTCCAAAGATCCCTTACCACAGCATCACTTATTTTCTGATAGACGAGTCTTCTTTCATCATCGTGAACATCTTCTTCTGGCGAATCCAATTCAGTCTTTAATTTGGGTTAAACAAATCTTAAATATTGTTACAAGAAAGCATAAACTTACATTGTTTGTGGACATCGTTGCTGTGGGCATTTTTCCGTGCCGTTGTTCGTACTTGCAGCCGGTTTCTCTAAAATTAAATGTGACATTCAATATCAAAGAAATGGGGCAATCAAAAACTAAGTTTATTTAGACTAAACGTTAGAGAAGTTTAAAAAAATTTGTTTGAAATGTAGCAAAGACACTTGTTAGTTTTATACTCTCACAAAAAGTGTTCTTGTATGTTTTAAGTTTCAAAAACCTTTCAAAACAATAATCGATTTTTTTAAAAATACCTGAACAAACGGTGGCTGGCAGGAGAAAATTTGAGAAATGATTTTTTTTACAAAAGTTCTCGATTTTATACCAAACGCTTGTCGGATTTTTATGCTCAATTTTCTCTGAATGCTAATTTCAACATTTCAACATACAAATCTACGAATTTGCGGCTCGAATTTGAAGTCAAAGTTCGATAAATGTCTTTTCTCAATTCTCAATCAAGTTTCTAGTGTCACTCAGTCTGTCTGAAGGGGGTTTTCCCCACACAAAACGGCACACTAACAGACAAACGATAGAAATCATTCGTATTAAAGGGATATGAACACTTAAAGACACTCATTTATCGGCACTTAAAAGCGGAAAAAGAGACAGACAATTTTAGAGAGGAACTGAATGATATAGAGATGTCTAACCATAAGTTTCTCTACAATGTATGAGTTCAACTTGGGTACATTGCAGAAATGGGAGCGGTTGAAGTTCGCAGGCTATGAAGTTCAACTCTCACTATCCGTGCTGTTTTCCAAACAGTACGGATAGTGAGATCCAATTTCCAGACCAAGCCAAACGAATTTGGTTTGGCTTAGCTCTTGTCTTTCCAGGGCGGCCCTGGTTGCAGTGTTGCAAGACCGTACTTTCAAAACTAAACTAACTTTGTATTCGGATTAAACATATTCGATTACTGCAGAAGGCATCAAGCTGCACAAGTATTCAATACTTATCAGAATTTTTAGCTCAACTTGCAGCAGTGCACAAGTTATTGACCTTTTGTAGCTTGGATAATCTAAAATGATTGTCCTTTAAAATCTTTTTAGATTGTCTTTTGAAAAAAAAACAATTTAGAAACAAGTCCGAAAACACTGCAATACTGTCAGAGCTTATTGTTAGGATATTTTAGCAATGTAATGTTTTAACAGACTGTAAACAACCAGCATACTGCGGTGTATTACAGTATCCAGGCTACTAAAGGTGAATAAATTCTACACCGCTACAACTTGAGCTAAAAATTCTTCTCAAAGATTATCTGATTTTTGAAGCAAAAGAGACTCCAGCATAGCCTGGAAAAGGGGAAGATTCAAGAAGGAAACCCCTCAAAAGTACAAAAGAAAGGAAAAGAGTGTCTCTTGAATAAAAAAAAGTGGTTGTAAGTGATCGAGCCCTTCTTGAGCTCTTTCTTTTCATATTCTTTTTCAATATCTAGTACCCTCAGCATTCCGTCCTCCCATTCCATTCAGATATTTCGTGGCAAATCAACTCTTCCCAAATTTTTCCATTTTGAATGTTCTCTGAGATATCTCTACCATGATATTCAGTTGTTCTATTCTAATTTTATTATTTTCCATTGTCAAATGTGATTCGATGAAATATCCGAATGAGATTTTGGAGACACCGATGGTTTTCTGTGAACCAGAGCGACTGGTGATAAAGGTGAGCATCAGATGAAACTTAACGACAAGAAACTTTAACTCAATTGAGTTTCAAATCATGAATGACAACGAAATGAATCTTAAATCATTCCATGTATTTCACAGATCAAAACAACTTCCTCGAATCCATCACATATCTATGCGGAAAATCTGATCGAAGACGCTGAGTGCGCGGTTCGAAATCAGAATCGAATTGCGATTCCCGTTGGGAAATGTGGGATGACTTCGGAGAGAACGGTGTCATTTTTGATTCAATACATTCTTGTGGCTCTCGATTGAGTGGCTATGCACCCTGAAAATGAGCTCACTATTTTCCAACTCACTATCAGATTACCCTACACTGGCTAGCTTTTGAGCTTTAAAATGAAAAAATGTATCTTGTATTGCTCGAGAAACTCTTCGAGTTTACTAGCTTTAACATAATAATTACATTTTTCGCATTCTTTTCAAATACACGGTACTTTGCTTTAAACAATTTATTTGAACCAAAGTAGTTACCGTAATACCTGTCATAGTAGCGCCCCCCCCCCGTACAGTCACGTAGTCGCAAAAGAAATTTTTACTAAACCATTTTTTTTCTGAGCGCCCATAATTTCTAAAAATACATATTTGGTATCAAAAAATAGCCCTGAATTTCTGCTTTCATTTGATACTTAACAGCACACTGTAGCATAAACAGGTGGCGAGAAAAGTGCGTTTAAAGTTAGACTACGCGACGCTCCGACCGTCATTATAGGGGGCGCTACTATTACAGGTATTACGGGAACCAAAGTTTTTTTGAATCAATTTACCAAAAACAAATCTCAATACTAGTACGAAATCCTGTCTAGAATAAAAATTTCTTCTCAAATTTTTCGTTTTATCGCCAGAAGATCCACCGAGTAGACAAGTCTAGATTACGGTAACCGGAGCATTTTTGAAATTACAATTAATTTCGAATGTCCATGAATATCTAAAGATTTGTCAAACTCTAGGACAACCCAATGGGAATGATCGAACGCATTTGTGTCACTGTGCAACTCCATCCACTTTTTGTCACCGAATCCGATCGATCTTATTGTGCACAATGTGTCTATGTTGAGAATCAAGTTTTAGAGGATTTCGAGCAAACATTAGCGATCAGGTGAAATGGGAATAGGATTTTGAAAGAAAAAAAACAGTGTCCAGTGAACATCAAGCAACGGAACTTGATCCTCAATTTGATTTCGAAGAAACGCCCACATGTTCATACACGATTCGAAAAGATTCAAAAGATGGACCAGAAGTGAGGAATTGGCGGGGGAGGGGAGAGATTTTATCAATCTACATTTATAGGCTCATTATGCATCGGTTGGAGAGCGAGTTTTTCATGTGTGGAGCTGTGAAAGCGGTTGGTTTTGACAACAAATGAAATTATCAATCTCTGCTTCAAAAGTACTGTACGACAGTACTCTTGAACTACGGTAGTTTACTGTCAACATTCATTCAGCAACCGCCGGTATTCTCATTCAAAATTGTTATGTCGAAGACGGGCAAGGGAATCGAATTTTAATTATCGATCAAAATGGGTAAATGGGATGTAAATCTAACAAAAATCTATGAAAAATCCTAGTTGTGGCGTTGATCATTACGTGATGGCGACACCGAATTATTCCCCTGATCTCACATCAGCTTTTCAAGTAAAGTATCCTTTAAGCAAAAGACTCGGGGGTGGGACAAATGCGACCTTTTTTTTGCGCACCTGGACATTTGCGCACCTTTTTTTTGCTGGAAAAGGCCTTAGGCAAGGCTGTAGAGCTTCGAAAATATTTCCATATAAGGGAATCGTATGCGTAGATTCCGAATTTCGACAAATCAGACCTCGCTGACACGTCAAATTTGGGCTAAAAGGCAAAAACTACGCAACTTAACGCTTTTCCGCAGTTTTTGCCTTTTAGCCCAAATTTGACGTGTCAGCGAGGTCTGATTTGTCGAAATTCGGAATCTACGCATACGATTCCCTTATATGGAAATATTTTCGAAGCTCTACAGCCTTGCCTAAGGCCTTTTCCAGCAAAAAAAAAGGTGCGCAAATGTCCAGGTGCGCAAAAAAAAGGTCGCATTTGTCCCACCCCCAAAGACTCCACTTACAATTCCCCTCTTTTCAACTTTGAGACTAATTTCAGGAAACTCATGTGTTCAAATTCGCTCAAAAGACGATCACCCGTTTTACGTGTCAGATTCGGATCTGTTACAAAGGGAAAGATTGCTCGGAACTATCGGTATTCAGTTAAGAAAATACAAATAATGAAGACAGGAACGCTGTACTGAATTATTCAGCCACCGCGCGCCTGTCCATCACTCGAAGAACGCCTCGCGATGGTTCGTCAATTGAGAGATCAACCAAGTTACGAAAAGAAAGACATCTATTTATCGTTGAAAGAGCTCGAAAAGGTTGGGAAACTCGTAGAGATACAGGAATTCTGTAAGGAAAAAAAACTCTAGTTACAGGCATTACGGTATCTTTAGGATATCCAAAAGCAACCATTTCCTTTCCCGAAACCACCAAGGGTCAATTTCACGGCTGAATCAAAAGGGAAAATCTATTTCAAGTTTGAGAAACGAAAAAAATGGTCAAAAAGAGATGAGAATTTAGTGGGAATACAACAACGTTGAGAAGAGAAAGACGAGCTTTGGAGTATAGGATTGAGAAAAATGTGGGAAAAGTGCTCAAGAGTGAATATGGATACCCGATGATGGATGTGAAAGGAGAATTGCGAGTATTGGATACACCCGAAGATGCTCAATATTATGGTGAGTTGCAAAAAAAACGAGCTCATGATATGAAAGTGTTAGTGTTCGCGTTTTCTAATCAATATCAACTTTTAGAAAGTGTCGGTTCAGCCTCAAAATCCGATGACTGTTCATCGAAATCTTCATTCCTATTTCCAATTATTATCGCCTGTTTGATTGTCACTTCTCTTTTATTATTCACTTTTGTCTTGCTTATCACAAGAAAAAGTAACTCTAGACCAAAGGAATCCTCCTGGATAGCCACTTAAAACATTTATCTTCCTCGGGCTGTTGGCGCTATCTACGGGTCTATAACAAAATTCAATTGATCTTTTGTATTTGAAACTCCTCATTTATCTAATACTTTAATCGATCTAAATAAACATGAAAGAAGTAAAATTTTATTCAAACACTAAGCAACACGTTTAGGCGGTAAGATTAAATTCGAATTTTCCTTGATCCGCCATGCAGCCTCGACGAGTCGTTCATAAGTTGGCTGTAACACCTGAAAAATATCATTAACGATGAAAAAAAGACAAAACCGAACCAAAAACGAGCATTTCATATTCTCGTCAATACACATGATTGCAGCTTTGTTGCTTTGCAAACCACAATAATACGGACACGAGAAAATCGTCACCAAGCGTCTATCAGCAAAGAATTCATAGCCATCTTCCACAACCTAAAACAAATAAAATAGTTTTATTGATAAAACAGTATACCTACACAATTTTTTAAAAACAAGCCACATATTCCAAATTAAGTAAGTCAAACAATGCATAAAAAAACAAACTTGGTGAGCTCTCACAATGAGATCGAGACCAAGGCGCTGACAAATCGACTTCACGACATCTGCACCAAACGCGAACGAAACACCTCGAGAATTTGTGTGCCAACCCTGAGCAAAAATTTGTAATTTTCAACGAAAGGAAGTGCTTTACCTGTATGTAAGGATCCGGATCCGACCAGAGAAGATCGATGTGCAATGATGGGTTTGGAGGGTCTATTGGCCGCTTCAGCTAAAATAACCAAATTCATTCTAAAGAGTTCGAAGTGTACCGTTCTCAGCTGATCGAGTGATTCGAGGCGTGGGCTAAGTCCTCCGTGCATACACAATATTCGACCACCAACCAAACCGACAAGTGGCATCACGTTAAATACATCCTAAAGAACAAAAGTTCAGAAGTTGAAAAGTAAAATACCTGGAAGATCAGCCAAAGCCTCACAGAGCCGCAACGCCTTTGGATCTCATCGAAAAATCCGTATGCCTTAAAAAAACCGATAATGAAAAGAAATGATGACTCACTTTATTGACAGCTGAGCATTCATGATTGCCGCGTAAGAGGAAAAAATTCTCCGAATATTTGACCTAAATTAAAAGTTGAAAGTAATCAAAGCTAAGCCAAATACTTTGTAACAAAACAACAGCAAAATAGTCTCAAGTGATTGCTTTCCCCGATCGACGTAATCTCCCAAGAAAATGTAGTTGAACTTCGGTGGAAAGCCGCCTTTGTCAAATAAACGCAACACATCTAAAAGATTTGATTTGAGGAGTTTTAAAAGTAATTTAGAATCTATGAATTAAAACTGTCTCACCATCATAATGACCATGCGTATCACCACAAATTCGAATTGGCGGCTCAACTTCAACGAGTGATGATTGCGATAAGAACGTCTTTCTAAGCATTTAAACATCATAAGCATGCATTAGCTGTCTAGGAAGTAAAAAAATGATAAGCACACACTTAGCTTTTGCGCACAACGCGACGACAGTGTCCTGTGAGACGCGTTCGAATATCGAATTGCATTTTGTGGCGCCGACCGTTAAGAGTTCCACAATCAGCGCATCAATATCGAGTTTAAAACTGGACATGCCCAACTGGTCTAACCTTAAACAATAAAAAGTAAAGTTTGTCTGTAAAATAACAAAAAGTACCTGTACAACGAGAATCTAGCAAATAATCAGTGTTGAGCTTTTGAGAATATTCTTGCAAAAGCTTATATGCAAATTTTGAACTTATGCTGATTGATAAGCTGTATTGCGTGTTTTTCAAAGTTTCAAATTGGTGGCATAACCGGTTAATTTTATTCAGAAAAAAATAAGAAATTCAAACAATAGTAAAAAAATACCCGTGAGTTTAAAATCCAGCATTAATGTTTAGCCAACTGAAAATGATACATTTGGTGTTGCCGGACCGCTTTCGCCGCTCTCAGCCTAAATTATAGTTTAAAAAGTTGCTTAGGTCAAGTTTTAGTAGAACTTTTAGTTCCTACGAATAATTACCTCATTCCGGTACTTGATTATTAATCGATGTGCTTCACGTAGCGACTCGCGCAAATCTTCGATTTCTTTTGAAATTTCTTGTTTAGCCATCGCCACAGTATCGACCGTCTTTTTTCGTCTTGCTATTACTAAAGAAAATCGGATGCATAAAAATTTCTAAAGCACTTACAGTCGTGATAAAACATCCGTGGGTCGTGTTTTTTTGCGTCGCCGGTTGTCAATATTTTGTACATCATCGTGGTAGGGTCTTGGAAAACCTAAAAATATTAAAAAATGTAAAAAAATAACACGTTACAATTTCATCGTAAAATTCGGCAGCGACTATGGTTCCTCCACTGACATTGAATACTGGTTGAAATAATCGGAGGTAATGAAAAGCGGTTACCTAAATTTGAAATTCAGTTTGTACAAAACACTTTGACACTTACTGGTTTTTCGTTTTGGTCAGCAAAATAAATTCGCATTTGTACTTCGAATTCGCCCCAACCCGTCTCAGTGACTTCAAATGGTGGTTGCTCGATTACTAAATTCTCAAATTAACTTTCGCCCATAAAAAAAGAAGCAAACCTCGCGTAGAATTGGCATAGCTTTCATGAAGTTTGAATTGAACTTTACGTATCCACCGAGAACCATCCTCATTCAAATAGGGACGAACAAATACTGTCCATTTGTGCGTATGCCCGTCACTTTCTCTAGAAAAATTTAGATAAATAATCCAAAATGTTTTTTTTAACAACCTCAAAATTTACCTCTTATATCCAAAAGCTTCTGCAGTATTTCCATAGACGACCGGCTTGACAATGCTTTTGCCTCGAATGCGCTCGTTTCCTTCGTTAGCCATTGGTTGCCTGGAAATAGCAAAATTATGGAATCAAAACAAACAAAAACACACCAAAAATGTATTGTCAACTTTTACGTAAAGGATTTGACTGAAATTGACTCTTTTGAAAGAAGCGCAGAAAGAAATACCGTGTTTTGTGTTAGTGCGGAAAGCGGCGCCTCCAAAAGAAATTCAAATATGTAGTCTCAAAAATCAGATTTTCCATGTTCAGCATTCCTAGCTGAATATCTTCATTCATGTTATTATTTATATTTAAGTTTCTAGCGTTACGTGAATTTTTCATTTCTAAAGCTTTTCCGACACCAACATTGAACTTGTCAAGCTTTCGCTTCTTTCCTACCCAGAAGGAGTCAGGGGAGGGAGCTTGGACTATAGCCATAATAATTTTCAGCCTTTTTTCTGCTACTTAAGACTTTTATGACACGGAGTGCAGTTTTTAGTAGTTGTTTAAGCTTCACTTAACATTTCGAAACAATTCTAATACATTTTGATCCAATTTGACAGCTATTTTGGGCTTCATGTTTTAAAGGGAGAGGTTAAGACAGTTTTGCTCTAAGTCGTAGCCAGGTCGCTCAAATCAGTTCAAAACTTTGCCAAAATGTTTGAAAAGTATTTCTAACAAATTTAGCTTGGCTTTTTATTCTAGAAAACGTGTTTAAACTTTTTGGAAAGGGCTAAAAACGTCAAAGTCCAAGCTGTTCCTCCCTCCTGACTCTCTTTGCACCCATATTTGCTTTGAGATTTGTTGTGAACACTTCACTTTATTGTGACTAATTACATTTTTTGTTTAGAACGATGGCGTTCCGTCAGCAAGGGAACTCAACAGCGACCACTCCGGTGAGCAAAATGATGCGTGGATTGGGAGAAGTGAGCCTTCAAGGAAAAACACCAGGAAGCGCGGGCAAGAATCGAGCACTTTTCTCGAAAACACCAACAAATGGTGGATTGAAGAGGGCACCATTGAATCGGCGGGACATAACTCCATCAAGAGCAGCCAACAATGTAAGCTGTGCAATGAAGTATGGAGGTGATCGGATGATTCCATCAAGAAGTGCCAGCCAACAAGAGCTCGCCAGCTTCCTCATGAGCCAGAGTATCCCGGTAAGAGTTTGTTGAATTATGTTGTACCTACGTATCTGACTGTTGTTGATAAATGGTTTTTTCAGAATCAATCCCTGAACACGTCAAAAAGTGCTCCCTGCAGTCCGTCAAAAGAAGAACTCGACAGGATAAAATTTATGAAGATGATGCGAAGTGGGCTGTTAATCATTCTTAAAATCTTAAATTTTATTTTAGCAAAATCTTCTACTGAAATGTGTGATGCGGAAGACGAAGATAGAATCCTTGTTTTTCGAAAGAACAATGCTCCCTTGCCTCCTGTCGGTCACATGAATGCAAAAGTGCTCTACACGACTTGTGTTCAACCATCATCGACTGTAAAGAAAGCGTCGAGACAAATTCCATCTTCCGCTGAAAGGTTAATACTAATATGTTTATTATAATTATTTACGACTTTCTTGCATGTTAAACAGCTTCACGTAATAATAATTATTTTTAGAATTCTCGATGCTCCAAACATTATTGATGACTTTTACACAGAGCTGATTGACTGGGAGTCAAATAATGTTCTTGCTGCTGTTCTTGGTTACGAAGTCTATCTATGGAATCCCGACACTGGAGAAATTGGGGTTAGTTTAAGTTGTATTCAATTTATTCACCTCATATTTAGCTTCTGGCTGAAGCAAACGAGAATACGGATCTTATAACTGCGGTAAAATGGGCAGCCGATGGAAGGTTTCTTGCCGTCGGCGGAGATACTGGAAGGGTTAAAGTAAAAGTGCCTTCTAAGTTTAGATTGACGTTTACTGTTTAGCTATACGATCCTACTAAAAATAAGGAGTTGCGAAAACTCGATGCCGAACGTGTTAGTAGAGCCACATGCATGGTCTGGAAAGATCATATTTTGTCGATTGGATATAAAAGTGGTCAAGTCATTTCTCACGACGTCCGAATAAAAAATTCGGTTGTTGGGTAGGTTCTTTTAAGTCTTATGTTCATGATTGTTTCCAATTATCGCGTATGATGCCTTACTAGTTTGTTGAAACTCTATTAGCCCACTTCTAGCCTACTATACTAATAAGGGTACTCCACTAGAGGGCGTCAACGAAAACGCGTCGTTAAGCGAAAACGGTAACCTGTAAAAATTAAAGTATGGTGGTATTTTAGTGTGCTTGATGGGCATTCACAGCCAGTTTGTGGTATTCATTGGTCAGTCGATGGATCTCAATTGGCCACAGGTGGAGGGGACAATCTCGTCAACATTTGGGATGCCCAACTTCTCAACACACGGGATCAGGTTTGGTTTTTTCCATACCAAAAAAAGCAATTGTTTAGTCACCCACTTTTTCTTTGAATGATCACACGGCTTCTGTAAAGGCTGTCCGGTTCTCAAACTACAAGAGAGGCCTACTGGCAACTGGCGGTGGACAGGATGATCCTCATGTGCGCTTATGGGACTCCCAAACCGGCACGCTAACAAAAACCTTGAAAGTTGGATCACAGGTAATTTAAGTGTTTCATTTAAGAGTGAGCTAGTATTTTTAGGTCACAGCCATTCGATTCAATAAAGACTATAACGAGATGGTTGTCGGACTTGGGCGAACTTCGAACGCTATCAAAATCTTCAAGCATCCTTCTTATACTGAGATCGCCAATATTGCTGGTTTTTTGAAAATATACGAAGTAGTTTTTATTGTTTCAGGGCACACTGACCGTATTTTGGGCTTATCGATGTCTCCTTGTGGTCAATACGTAATTAGTGCAAGCGCTGATGAATCTCTCCGTTTGTGGCACTTTTTCAAAGTAAATTTCAGCACTTTTAACAAAGTACTTTTTACATTTAGTATTCTATCTGTTTTAGGTCGACAAGAGCACACAACTGCTGCAACACAAAAGAAGCAAATTTTCCACACTTGATGCTTTACGTTAATTGGCACTTATGGCTTACACCTCCCGCAGGCATTAATTGTAAATATGTTTGTTTTTTCGTTAAGATAATTCGATTTCATGCTAAGACTCTAAATTTCGGCCAATGGTCGTAGACGTTTTCTTATTGTTTGCTTATTGATGTCTTTCACGCGTGTTACCAAGTAAATAAACTTTGATTATTGCTGAACTTCCAAGCAAAAAATGGCTATGGCTCCGCACCCTAATCTCGCCGAAGGCGATCGTGTGACCTGACTGCAGGACCCCGGAACGCATCGTTCGCTAACGCCTTCAGGTAGCGGGCTTTTTTTTTGTAGGTAGCGCTGTCCACACAAAACTTTCAGGCTTAAGCAGACGACCCCTAACCTTTGGTACCAGAACAAAGAAAGGGGGCTTCAGGAACGAGAAAACCCTCAAAAAAGGGAGTGGCAAAAAGGAGGTACGAAACGCGGGAAAAACAAATCCAGAGCTATTAAAACAAAAATTGTGTTAAAACTATAATTTGCGTGTAAACCAGCATGGCTAGTCTCTCCAATAAGCCGCTCAAAATGACGAGGATCAACTAAATAACATGAGTTTTCCAAAACCTTCAAAAATCGCAAAACCCGGGTCTGCGATGTCGAAATTCATACTTAACGCATCGAATTACCCCAGAAAAAGCTCACTTGAATTTTGAGCAGTTATCGGGACTGAAATTGCCAGATGACACCGAAACAAAACCAAACCGAAAAAAAGGACCTAAAACAGCGCCGCCCAAAAGGCTTGAAAACGTTAATTTCAGCACCAACGGAATCTTTTTCTGTATAAACGTGGTTTTAGTGTTTTTTTTTGTATGATTTCAAAGTTTTCACATTTACAATACCGAGCAAAAGTCTTGCAACATCACTTTTTCAAAAAATCGATGAAATTTTTTATAGAAAATGCCACCCGTTCGTAGGGCTTTTTTGTTTTTAATTAGAATAATACATGTACACTTTATTAACAAAAATAATTTGAAGTTCAGCGTGGGGCACTTTTTCATCAGTTTTTCTGGGGTAATTTTATGCGTCAATTCCGAAAAAACACAATAAGAGCTTGGGAAAAGGCACTTTAAGCCGCGAGTTTCAGGGCTCCAAAGTGCGCGCTTCTATGGTGTACTTCACTATATGGAGCAGAAATGTAATCAGTAGGTTAAATTATGCCAGAAAAAGAGTTTTTGGCTTCAAAAAATGTTTTGAGAGACCATTTTTAGACCCTACGTGTATCCCTCTCATCACACTGTATGAGTGTTGGAATTTGGACTTTGGAATCCCGAAACTTGGCTTAAAACGCATTTCCCCAAGCTCTCGTTGTGCTTTTCAGAATCTACGCATAAAACTACCCCAGAAAAAGTGGTTTTGAAGAAAAAAAAACCCACTAACTTTTCACAGTTTGCCCACACTTTGGGGGGGGGGCACTTTTGTGGGCAAGGGGGACACCAGGGGTGGGGCCACCTGTAAGCTAATTGTAAAAGAGAAATATAAAATAAGCATTAAAAACACGAGATTTGGGGGCATTTATCATAAAAGTGGCAAATTTCTATATTTTCCTCTAAAAAATGGATAAACCGAGCTAATTTTGGTCGTTTTTGCGCGCATTTAATGCGTATGGCCACGCTCTAAGTGCAATAGATGAAAAAAGTGCAAAAACATTAGCGAAATTATAAAAACATGAAAAAGCAACGCGAGAATCAAGAGTATTAAAATCTAGTCGCGTTGAAATTAACGTTTTCAAATCTTTTTTGCGCGGCGCTGAAATGAACGCGCGCTGATTCGCTGGCGGTGAAATGAACAGCGCTGATCCGTTCGCGCTGTTCTAACTAGTCCCCGAAAAAGTCTTGAATTTGTTGGCGAGAAAAATTTCATTATTAATATATCCAAATTGTTAAGCCTATGCATTTCGAATTTTCAATCATTTTACTAAATATTAAAATCTTTCTGAGACAAAAATGTCCTGAAAAAATTTTTTCATGTCACGCATTTGATTTCCAGCGTCCACTGTTTTTTTTAAACTCTTCTAGAATCAGTTTTTTGAGTTCGCGGGGGTGGGACAAATGCTACCTTTTTTTCGCTGGAAAAGGCCTTAGGAAAGGCCGTAGAGCTTCAAAAATGTTTTAATGTAGGGGGTCGTATGAGTAGATTCTGGATTTCGACAAATCAGACCTCGCTGACACGTCAAATTTGGGCTAAAAGGCAAAAACTGCGGAAAAGCGTTAAGCTGCCTTTTTTTTGGTCTGATTTGTCGAAACTCAGAATCTACGCATACGATTCCTCCGTATGAAAACATTTTTGGAGCTCTACGGCCTTTCCTAAGGCCTTTTCCAGCGAAAAAGGTAGCATTTGTCTTACCCCCAAGTTCGCGCCTCTTTTATTACCCCTCTTAAAAGCCTATTAAAATTTTTATTTTCAGATAATGCGTGAAATCGTGCACTTGCAAGCCGGTCAATGCGGCAACCAAATTGGGACGAAGTTCTGGGAGGTCATCTCGGATGAACATGGAATCCAACAAGACGGCAGCTACAAAGGCGACTCGGATCTCCAACTTGAACGCATCAACGTCTACTACAATGAGGCTAATGGTTCGTTTGCTTCTTTGTACCTAGCTTTCTTCATCTTTTATTTTAGGTGGCAAATACGTGCCTCGCGCCGTGCTGGTCGATCTCGAGCCTGGAACAATGGACACGGTGCGCAATGGACCCTACGGAGGAATCTACCGTCCCGACAACTTCGTCCACGCTCAATCGGGTGCTGGAAACAACTGGGCCAAAGGACACTACACTGAGGGAGCCGAGTTGGTCGATCAAGTGCTTGATGTGGTTCGTCGAGAGGCCGAGGGATGCGACTGCTTGCAAGGATTCCAACTCACACATTCGCTTGGTGGAGGCACTGGATCTGGCATGGGAACCCTGTTGATTTCAAAGATCCGTGAAGAATACCCGGATCGCATCATGTCCTCATTCTCGGTCGTCCCATCGCCAAAGGTATTACTTTGTTCTGAAAGATAATTGCTTATTTCCTGTTTTCGGTTTCCGACACGGTGGTCGAGCCATACAATGCAACCCTGTCTGTGCACCAACTCGTCGAGAACACCGATGAGACGTTCTGCATCGACAACGAGGCACTCTATGACATCTGCTTCCGAACACTCAAGCTCAACAGCCCGACTTATGGCGATTTGAATCATCTTGGTTAGTTTTGTAAAAGTTTGCAGTTTTGTCATTTGGTTTAGTTTCTATGACGATGTCTGGTGTGACAACTTGTCTTCGCTTCCCTGGACAACTCAACGCAGATCTACGAAAGCTTGCCGTTAACATGGTGCCTTTCCCACGTCTCCACTTCTTCATGCCTGGCTTCGCTCCCCTCTCGCCCAAAGGAACCACCCAATACAAAGCTCTGACGGTCGCCGAGCTCACACAACAGATGTTCGACGCCAAGAACATGATGGCCGCTTGTGATCCACGCCATGGACGATACTTGACTGTCGCAGCAATGTTCCGTGGAAAGATGAGTATGCGCGAGGTTAGTTTTTTTCTTGATTATTACCTTTTAGATTTTAACGATGGTTCGACTATTGTACTTGTTGTTTAGGTGGATGACCAAATGATGCACGTCCAGAACAAGAACTCCGCCTACTTCGTCGAATGGATCCCCAACAATGTGAAGACGGCTGTTTGCGACATTCCACCTCGAGGATTAAAGATGGCTGCAACCTTCGTCGGCAATTCAACCGCCATTCAAGAACTATTCAAGCGCATCTCGGAGCAATTCACTGGTTGGTTTTGCTTCGAACACCGGATATTAATGCGTTTTATTTTAGCCATGTTCCGTCGCAAAGCTTTCCTCCATTGGTATACTGGCGAAGGAATGGACGAGATGGAGTTCACTGAAGCCGAATCAAATATGATCGACCTCGTCTCCGAATACCAACAGTACCAAGAGGCCGAAGCTGAGGTGCAAGAGGAAGGCGATTTCGAGGAGGAAACTACTGGCGGAGAAATGCTGGGAGACACGCTTTGAATGTATTGATTGTCAGTTTTATGTATTGTCTTGTCTTGCCAGGCGTATTATCGAGTAAATTTTCAAACGTTCTGTTCAATAAATGTTCTGTCTGACAAGTTTTGTAGAATGCAGCTTATTTGTGTCATTTCAAAGTAATACATGATTCGAAGCGCCATGTTTGTTCCATACATTTCGATATTTATCCAAAGTCACATACTCTAAATTGATTTTGCCGCTCATGAGTATAAACTACCTCTCGAAGTTATACAAATAGAATTATGCACTTGAATGCAGTCAGAATTATATTATGCATTTTTAGCTATTTGATCTGACTGAAATGCCAATTTGGGACAACTTTCGAGTTCTTTTCAACCGGAACCATGTGTTTCTGGACGAGAGCCGCTACAAGTTCTGCTGTGGATTGCTTCCTGTCGAGGTTATTGTTTTGCCAAATTAAAGCCATTTTAACGTCTACTTAGATTGCTGCTTTACTGTTCTTCATCATGGAAATATTTGCTCTGGGCACGGCTTTATCAAACGCCAGTATGCACAACCAGGCATTGACGGTTTGTTTTTTGCCCTTTTATTTTAAAATGTCTCGTTTTAGTGGGGATACTTCATGGGAATGATTGTGCTCGTCGGATGCATTGTCACCACTCTTTTGGGAAATCACAAGACGGGCAAAATTGTTCTCTTTTTGCTGGTAAACTGGCTTGTGTTGGATGGTAATACATAGTGTTTTTAGCCTGTATTGGATGTGATGAGTGTCGGCTACTACTTGATGGCCATCTTGTGTTTCAAGGGAGCATTTGATAGGTATTCTGATTCTACATACCTACCTACCTAATTCAAATGCTTCTAGTCCCCATTGTGCAGCTGGTAATGCAAGTTTCGACTCAAGCGCTCAAAAGGATATCAAGGGAAATTGTGTGTTTTACAGTTAGATAACAATAACTCATGCTTTTAGTGCTTATTGGCTCCCTCATCTTCTTCGTCCCACTCTTCATCTGGGAGTACTTGGTCTTCTATCTTCATTATACTAGCCTGAAGTATTTTTTATTTGCCAGATATTCTTATTTTATCGAATTAAGGGAGAAGCGTGGCAAAATCGACGTCGAACTTTGCAATGAGGTCAAGCTGATTCCCAAACCTCAACGCACAGTAAGCTTTTAACAATTTTTTTATTCAGCTAATTGTTTTAGAGTGTTGCTGTGGGTGAAGCCTTGATGACCGACACTTCGCCAAAGAAGAACATCGCTCCCCAGCGCGTCAAGAAGGAACGTCGTGGAGCAGCTGGGCCATCGCACTAATAATTGCATGGAAAAAACATTGTTTGCTAACGTCTATTTTTTTGTTGCTGTTACCAATTTATTTTTGTTGTTGACGTTACGTTAAATCGTTATTCAGTTAAATAAAACTTAAACTTGAGATAAAAATGCATTTGAGTTTGGGCGTAATGGGTAAACATTAGACATGTCCTCGCGACAACTTAATACCTTATTCACGACGAACAAAATTAATTCAAGAAAAATAAACCGGCCCGAAAGTGATGAATGGTCGAATGAATAAAGATAAAATGTATTTGTGAAAAGAGAAAATGAAGGTGGTTTCAGAAGACCTAACAAGCCGATTTCGATGAAGAGAACATATTAACATGTAAGTCTAGGGTATGGTTTTCGAGTGTCCCCTTCTCTGAATTTTCAGTTTTTAGTCCCTTTTTGAAAAACTAGTAGATGATTCTGGGAGTTCAAAATACCATTCGATAGCAAATTTTTTGCGCATCTTTTGGCGTATAAGCCATTGCGAATGACTTATTGGGTGGCAAGAAAATTTACAAAGTGTAAAGGGGGAGAGTACTCCCCTAAAGTGTCCTCCTAGGTTCCAGTTGAAATATTCTGGGATTCCTCCGAGCAATCCATTCTCCAATTAAAAACAGTAAAACTAAACTTGAATGCACGTATTTTACAAAAAAAAGTAATTCAAAAGACCCAAATGTGACCGAGATATGCGAGTGAAAAGAAAAAAGGGGACACTTTTCGAAAGTATCCCCTTTTTTTCTTCCCACCTCCATATCTTGACTCCTCTTTCCTATTTTTAATTACTTTTTTTTGAAAAATATGCGCATTTAATTCTAGTTTTACCACTTTTATTTGCCATATACGTTTGCAATAAAAATCCCAGAATATTCAACTGTACACATATGTATATCACAGGGGAATACTTTAGAGGAGTACTTTACACTTTGTAAATTTTCTCCCCACCCAATAAGTCATTCGGCAATGGCTTATATGCCAAAAGATGCGCAAAAAAATTTGCTATCGAATGGTATTCTGAACTCCCAGAATCATCTACTAATTTTTGAGAAAGGGACTAAAAACTGAAAATTCAGAGACGGGGACACTCGAAAACTATACTATAAAGTTGATTTTAATTTTAAAATTTGCATTTATGGCTCATTTAAAAGGTTTTCTGGAGTGCAGAATCCCATCATTTGCTACTCGTCTCTTCACTCATCTCGGCCGAATATGGGACGCGCAAAAACCAAGGAAAACAACAAGGATACTCCGGGAGGAACGATACGAATCTTAAAATCGGTGGGATTTTTTGTTTTCTTCCAGTTTTTACTTATTTAATAACTTTTCAATGTTTTGTTTCGCGTATAGTACTTGAAAACGATATTATTTACAGTTTTAGTTAACTCTTTTAGTTCGTTTGTATACAAGTTAGCAACAGATTTAAATTTAGGCCGAATCACTCGAGAAAGTACCACAGCAAAAACGGAATGTGGAGGGCCGATGGTTGTCAAGGGATCACAAGCTGCGAATTGTCTTCGAATTAGGATGTAAGATTTATGTGATGCTATGTGAAACAACTGACATTTGTTGATGCGCCTGATTACGACTACATGCTGGTTTGATTTTAAGTTGTGGTATGAATAGTTGTGCGTTTCTTTAGAAAACGGTTCGCAAGATTGACGATTGCGATTTGAATCGATAGTTCCGTTTGTGATTTTCCTTACCGTTGAACTAGTAATATTTTTCTTTAAGTAGACTGATTTAACCGGGTGATGAAGAAAGAAGTGAAAGAGTAATTTTTGCACAACGAACGGTGGCGTCGGTTTTTAGAGCGGCGTCGGTTAACTTGGCTGATGTGTGTCGACTGATCTCAACTTACCACTTAATCTTTACACTAATATCGATCTGCGTTAAAAATTTCAAGTAAGTAAAATTTTTGTTTTTTTTGAGCATTCAATCTTTAATCATCCATTCGTCGTCTCATCGTTTTCTTTCTTCACAACTGTGTCCTCGTTCCCTTCTCAACAACCAACCAATCAATCTAATTTTGTGTTATTTTTTTCTTACTCATTTGATATCCATGTTTGTACAATTCTATTAGCAATGTATTCATTGATATGCATTTATGGTCTGGGAAATAAAGTTTTAAAACACAGAAAAGGAAAGAGAGAATCAAATTATCCGTACGACTTATCAGAGTCTGTACTTTGGTAGGAAAGAGAATCTAAACTGTGAAAAAACTTATCTGACGGAAACTACCGTAGTCTCGACAACTACAGTACGCTTGGTGACTTTTTGGTTTGTTCTCAACAGAGAAAAGGAAAGATTGAACGGTTTTATTTTGTTTTGCGCAACTTTCTAGAAAAGCGCTAAAAGTTATAAAGTGGCTATCTAGACTCAACGGATAGATAATGAATAGTTTTTGAGGAACAAAACTTGAAATTTTAAAAATATCGCATTCACTTCCAAAGAGTATTTTTCCTAACAACTTTTGCCGTTTTATCGCTTTTTCAAAATTGTGTCGGCATAATATAATTTTGGTTCTAAAGAAAGCAAATACCTCTGTTTCACCTTGTTTAGAAATCAAACACTGACAACAAAAATGGCTGATTACCCTCGTTCTGGTCGAGCTGTGGATTCGCTTTGCCGTGCCAAATACATGTTTTTTTCGAAGAGCGAAAATTAATGGGACCATAACGATTGCGCCGCAAGACAAAAACGAAAATTGAGCATGCGAAATTCGGCGGCGCAATTTTCGTTTTTGGCTTACGGTGCAATTTTCGCGGCGCAACCGTGATGGTCGCAAATTAATGCGCTCTGACGCAAAAGTGACTAATATACACTCCCTCTTAAGATTTGCTAGCTTTCCAGTGTTTTTCTAACAATTCCAAAACATTTTGGTTTTCGGAAATCAAATCTGCATTCAAGATGGCAATTCGCGATCATTTCCATGTGCTTGCCAATCCGAATTTGATCGTGGACAGAGGCCGCTACAAGTGTTGCTGTGGTTTGCTTTCAATAAAGGTTCGTTTTTAAGGAATCTCTTGACATTCATAATTCAAAAATTTGTTTAGGTAGCTGCCTTGCTCTTTTTTATCGCCGAACTGTTCGTTCTTGGCGCCGCTTTATCGAATGCTTTAATGCTCAAGAAGGCTTTTTGCGTATGTTATCGGTTTTTATTTAACTTTCCAATTTTAGTGGTCCTATTTTACTGCAATGATGGTGCTTGTCGGATGTATGCTGGCCACGCTTTTGGGAAACCACATGACCGGCAAAATCGTTGTATACTTGCTTGTGAGTCTTCCTTTCAATGAATGAAAGTTTAGGCGATTTAGCCTCTTCTGAACGGAATAAGCATCACTTTTTGTCTGGCCGGAATCTTGCATTTCAAAGGAATGCTTGCGGGGTAAATATTTTTTTACTTCACTAAAGCGGCTATTGATTACAGTTGTTTTTATGTTGGAGCCAACTTTGCATTTTTGGAAAACACCATGGAAGACAGCGAGAAGGGCAACGGTAAATGAAATTACTTGTAATTTAAAAAATGCTTTTAGTACTCATTGGTGCACTGATCATCGCTATTCCATTTTACATCTGGGAATACTTGGTGTATTGCCTTTTGTACATCTACTACAAGTTGTGTTTTTTTTGTACACTTAGTTAAACTCTGTTAAGGGAGAAGGCTGATCGTGTGGGCTTGGAACTTGGCAAGGTGAAAGTCACCAAGGCTCAGCAAACTGTAAGTTGTGCCTAAACATGCAGACGAATTTTTTTGTATTTTAGAGTTCTGTCATGGGTGATTCATTGGTTGCTATTCCTGTCAAACACATCGGTGTTCAACGTGTATCGGGGGAACGAGTGAACGTGAATGTGGAAGATGATCCCTCATATAAATGATTTTTGCATGATGTTATCGTTTCTTTTTGCCAGTATTAACTTATCAATTTTGTTGTTGTTACGTTATCAGTCATCGTTAAAATAAATGCTATCGAAGTATCAAAAATTATCCTGTTATTGTTGAGTCGGTTCAGTAACCTCTTTAGTTTTCAACTTTATCAATCAACAGATTATTTTTTAGTCTTGATTATCCATTATGTATTAGTATCGGAAATTAATTACGTGGTTTTAGGCAACCAAATTCTCAACAATTGAAAAAGATGCCGCAGTTCATTCGCCAAATTGTAGAGGAAAATCGGTGCTGCAATAATTTGGGCTTCTTTAAGGTTTTTTTTATTTTTTTCTATTTTGCATCTGAGACTTTTAATGAAACTTTTCTAAAACTTAAAGAAAAGAGTGGCAATGCCAAAATTCAAACGAAGGTGACTCTTTGAATTAAATTTGCAATCGGGTGGAATCAAATGCAAAGATGCTCGATCAATTGTAGAGTTTGGTTTTTCGCAAGGCTTTCAAAACAAATCCGAATCCAAATGCATACCCTAATGTGGTATGTGTGCTTGTCATCGTAGGGGGCGTTGAAGACGACCTTGGCGTTGGGTTGAGTAGTGATGGCGCCGGGTGGGATCGATTCAGCCATCTTGTCGGGTTGAAGTCGAAAAGACTGATGTCTATTCGACAAAATGGTTTTCTTTTATTTGATAAATGCTAATTTGGGAAGGTTCCAATGTAAATTAGGCAAAATGAGACGTTGGTTAATTTTAATATCGCAGGCTAGTGAATTGTATCATTGGTCATTGATACCCCAACAGCGCAAAAATTAAAGATAACAATTTGTGTTTTAGGTTTTTGTGTGGGGCTTCTTCATCATCAATTGTGCCTTCGGAATCTATGCGATTATCGATCTTTTCGACAATGGCGGTCTTTTGGCAGTAAGATGGCAGTATAAAGAAGTTCGCATTCATTCAGTGGATTAACGTGTTTGGTCTTCTGATTGTGACGGCTTTTATTTTTGGCTCACTCCTCGACAACAGAAGCTTTGGAAAGGGTTTTCTCTGGATGGGCGTAAGTGTTCATTTTTTTAGCTTGCAACTTTGTTCTTTTTAGCCGATTTACTATTCTTTCGTAATTGGCCTGCTCATCACAGCAGCTATCTGTTGCTCCAAAAGGTTGTAACATTTATTTTATTAATAGCATCTTGTTTAGTGAATGTTGCGATAGCATCCCAAACGGTTTTGAAAGTCTCGGTATGAACTAGTTTACCTAACTTATACAACAATGATTTAGTCAAGGGTGTCAACGTTATTCTTGTGTTAGTCTATTTTGCGCTCGAGTATTTCGTGATGGTCATTTACATTCGCTTGATGAAGTGGGGGATTTTTTGTATGCTTGCAAAATGCAAATTTAGGAGCGGCGATTACACCACGGTCAAGTGTTTTGCTTAATGAATCAAAAACCATCTTTATCTACCTCTTTGTTGCCTCTTTTTGTTTTGTTGCTCTAATAACAAATGCGTTTTGTTTTGTTTCGCTTGATTACAACTTCATTTACATTTACAGTTCGTTTAATAAAAGTTTTAGAAATATCGCTAAGCTTCCGCGTTTCTGATAAATTACGTGCATTTTTTTGCTTGAACATTCACAAATGTAGAATTTTATCGACAATTCAAACAAGCAAAACTTTTGAAAGCAAAGTTTTTTTTGGATATTCATCTAAAGCAATCGTTAAATTAGCATATTTACAAGCGTGACTCTCAAAATTGCAAAAAGGATCAACGTTAGAATAAAAGTAAAAATGGCTGATTGTGAGTATCATAAAATTGTATAAGATCATATGAAATTTGTCTTTTTTTTTGGTGGTCGACTCAAAAATGCCCAGATTTTCCGACTTGTCATTGTCAGAATTGCACGCAATCATCCTCATGTCCAAAGTAAATCGACTACGGTCAATCCGAAAATCGTATCCATTTTCCGATTTCCAAACCGTCCATCTCCACTCTTTTTCTTCTTCATCTTCTCCATCCGCTTTCTCAATTTCCATTTCCCAACATCTCAATGTCCATTTCCATAAGTGTCCATTGATCTTCTCTCTATTGTACATTTGGCGGTCTTGTCGATGCAAATGCATCCAATATTTGTTTATACGTATCAATTTGTGCATTCAAGCGTTTGTTTTGATCTTTTTCTTCCAATAATTCTTTTTCTAATGTAATCACCGTTTGACGAAGTCTCTCCAATTCTTGATCCTGAACATTCTCTTTACTAAGATTTACTCACGTCACTTCAATTCGTCGTCAAATTTCAAAATTCAGTTTTTATGATTGGTGATTCTGACAGAATTCATGATGATGATTCACCCAAAATTTATGAAATCTTTAATCTATTCCATTGTTCAAAGGTTAACTGAGATAAGAGATAAAAGGGTGAAATCATTTGTGAACCATTTTATGCAAAGATCTTTGAAAATTCGAATTATCCAGTCAGTCAGATTACGGTATGTTCAGTCAAATTTCACCAACAGAAAATTGGGGAATTGGGTGGAAGATCATCATGAGTTACTGTAGCTGTTAAGGTTACGGTATCTACTTGAGCTACTGGATCACATGATTCTACAGCACTCCAGTGTGGAATATCCTACACTCCAATAAAAGTACAGTATCGCAACTTCTCAAAATGGAATTACTTTACTATAAGACTACAGTACTCCCTTGTGCTATTGTAGTCTTATAGGCTAAAAAATACCTCAAAGTTATTTAGTCTATATGCTCTTACTTCAGTCGGATTGCGGTAGCCTGCTGCCCCAATAGCAATACAGTACTCTATTGTTCTAGTGTAGCTACAGTACCACCGCTTTTTCGTCTTAATGTATCTCAAACTGACCTTTAACATTTGTAACCTCTTCGCTTTGTCTCTATTCCTTTTCACGGCTTCATTGTTCGCTCTTCTCATGTCCAAATATTTCGGATCATCTTTTGCCTGAATAATTCTTATTACTGTTCTTATATCTAATTCTTATTACTGTTCTTATTACTGTTCTTATTACTAATTCATATTATTGTTCTTATTACTAATTGTTATTACTGTTCTTATTACTAATTCTTATTACTGAAAATCTCCTCATTTACCCTTTTATTTACCCTTATCAAATATTCCCAAAAATAGAAATGACAATCAAAATTTTTCTCGAAATAAACAATTTCAAAATGTTTGAAAAATTAAAAAAAATTTGAGATTTTTGTTGTTGTTTTGTGGAAAAGAATAGGAATCCCCTAAAAGAAAGAGGAAAATAAAAAGGGACATGTGGAGGGGACATGTGAAGAACACAAGTACGGAAGGGAACAGTTATTCGGGGGAGAATTGGGGTTTCTTTGTTTTGATTGAAGTTTGCTTTTATGTCATCGAGTAAGACACTAAATTAGAATTTTGGGTATCCTTTAGAATTGTGGGTATCCTTTAGAATTGTGGGTATCCTCCTCACAAATTGGGAGATCTAACTATTTTATCTGGCTTATTTATTTAGTTTTACATTGTTTAGCCAATAACAATTATGGTAACGAACATTAGCGCCAAAAAAACAAAACTAAACTAAACTTCTTCATTTTTTAACCACACTGCGGTTTTGGCGTTTCATTTGAAATGATTTTTGTCAAAGTTTAGGCATTGACACTTTTGAAGAAAAGTTTTAAAGAAAAGTTTTAAGGAAATTGCCCTTTTTCTCTGAAATACAATTGCTTTTCTGTCCAAATAGCACATTGTAAATGCCAACTCACAAAAACGTCAAAGCTTATCAGCGAAAAAATAAAATCCCTTCTCCGAAATTGCAGAAAATTTTGCAAGAATTTCTTGGAAAACCTTGGAAATGATTATCTAATTTTTGGTCAGCGTAATAAAATTTGGGAAGAATTTTGAAGTTGCCCTAGTGATTTAGAAATGATTTTTCTTTTTGCTTTCTTACAAAGTCGAATTTCCCAACCAAATTCGGGGCATATTTTCGTCGTTTTGTCCCATCGGCGAAATCGTGCAATGATGGATCGATTGGAGAATCTTGGTCGGAACGGAGAGCTGAAATTTCATCTTCTACATCAAAGTACTGAGAGCTACTTTGTGCACAACTTTTAGGCGAGCTCCTATTGAGTAGATCGCAAGTAGTAGTTGGGATAGGCGGGGGTAAAGCGCCGGCTTGAACGTGAAATACCTGGCTTTACTTGCACCAAGAAAAGCCAGTCTTGACCGACTTCTGACCTGGCTTTTAGGCATATTGGGCATTGTAGCCGGAACATTTTTCACTCCAAAACTCGAAAACCAAAAATTCAGCTCGTTTCTCGTTTGTGGGGAATCCCCTATCGAAACGTGGAGTAAACGTTTTGAAATCTTCTCCATTTTTTTCCCATTTCTTATCTCAAAAACAAACCACAAACCTCATGATTTGAATTCTGATTTGAATCCGAAAAATGAAATCATACTTTGAGACAAAAATCCCTATTTTCTTTTTCCTGAAAATTTTTTTTCATTTCTGAAAATCAGCCAAAAATGGGGTGATTCTTGGGGAAATTTCTGCCGAAAAGATAAGAATTTTATTTTCGTGTAAAATGAAACTATTTTGTAATGAATTTTGACACGATTTTTAGCCTAAATCCATTAGCAAATCAAATTGACATTTTCTCCAAAATTTACATCAGCTAGCACAAGTGGTAAATAGTTTTTAGCCTAGCATTTTATGAACAAATTTATCTTTGCAAGAATTTGTTTATAGTAGCTATTTGTTTGCAGGAATTGATAAGGGAAAGAGTTCTGTAAACATTGCAGAAAAGTCGAAATGTTGGAACAATTTTGAAATCCGATCAAATTGTTTCCCCGTACTTTGAGCAGCAGCGCAAAAACACGCCTTCTGGCACACTCAATTGACTCACACCGGTTGCTTTTTGTTTGATGCGGTACCGGTGCGCGAGAAAGTGTGGGTTTATCAAAGGAAAAAGTGCACCTTTATTTTCCCCGTGGACATGATGGATGAAGAGATTGTAAACGGCCGCAATCTGGCGCACTCATTCAATCCCTCCCCACTCATCATTAGAGTGTGTTCCGCGCGAGTAATTCGTTTTTTAAAACACACATTTCGGAAAGATTACTGTTAATTATTGCAAAAAATTGGCGCAAAAGACTCAGGAGCATGCAATTATATACGACTTCTTTTAAAGATATTCAGCTATTTAACTGATTTGGCGGTAAATTCCCTTCAAAAGTAAAGATATTCAGCTGTTTAAATGATTTGGCGGGAGATTTCCCTCAAATGTAAAGATATTTAATTTACTCGACGTGTAAAGAGGATTATTCGTAACTATGAAAGGTTTACTCGACCAAAAACGGGGACCTGCTCAAAATGGCGCCACGGCAAAAGTAGCCCCTCCGCGCTTAAGTTTTTATGTGTTTCTGATTCTTATTGAATACAGAATAAAATTATCTATCTTTTGCCTATTTTGGGATCACTTAAAACAGAAATTAGCGTCGAGAAAAGCTCAGTTAACCTCTTTTTGAGCCCTTTTTCGTTTTTTTTTTTTTTGACATTTCCTCATCCCAGATTTTTTTCTAAACGGCTCCAAAAAATTCAGCAGATAGCTAAATTTTTTTCTCCATCCAATGAAAATAAGAAACACAAACGCATTATTTTGGCCGGCGATCTTTTGACCAGCTCCCCAAAAGCGTCGATTAATCGAGTAAAAATAGCTCATGCGAATTTTACTCGATTTATTGACTCGGAAGAAGCACACTCTACTCACCATGCTCGCTGTCTCCATTCTCCTCTTTTCCCTTTTTCTCATTTATCTCTTCTCGATTCATCCCATATATTCTCGGTCTTCCTCTCGGTCTTCTCGTTAATCCATCACCGTTTTCACCCTGAAAGAGCATTGGGTTCTCTCTTTTGATACAGCTGACAGCTGCAAGTTCAATTGATTGTTTATGTTCAAAAATAGGCAAACGCATCCTCTGGCAGACCGAAACCGGCTTTCTCGTCACTCAAAACATTGCTTTTTGGTCGAGAATGAGGAAAATTACGAGTTGAGTGTGCCAGAAGGGGTGTGTTTGCGTGCTTAAAATGTCGAAACATCCCTTCTGGCCCATTTTCCGGTTTCAGTGCGCCAGTCGGTGTGTGTTTGTCCATCTTTCCCCACCTGTGATCCGGGCCTTTTCCTGTCCATTTCTTTCGCCATTTTCTCGGCGGTTTTCGGTGAAATGACCTCGTTTCTCTCATCATCCGAATCCTCCATTTTCATCTCATCGTTTACCTAGATTTTCAGATACAATAGCCTTAAAGTCCCCTTTAAGTCACCACACAAAAATTTCTCTGTGATGCAGTGGCTACCCGCTCGGATTCTAGCCAAAGTCTCCCGGGTTCAAATTCAGCCTCAGCCCTATTTTTTTGCCTTTTTACGATTTGCCCCATAATTTCCCAATTCCTGCAGTATCTTCTTTCTTTTTTTTCATAATCCAATCAAAATTCCCAAAAACTCTTATCAAATAATTTGGATCAAACGAGACTGCCATAAAATTTTCCAATTCCAAGTGAGCTTTCGTAAAAATTTCAAAATAAATCGAAAATTGAAAAATCGACAAAAATCTCCCTGATTTCTACACAATTTCACAATTCTACACAATTTTATTTTATCTTTTTTTTTTGCCACAGAAAGGCCATTCTTAGTGATGATTCACAATGATGAATCGGGAAAGATAAAAAAGTTTTTTTAAATTTTGCAATAACTTTTTGTCAACCTAAATCATTAATTTTGGCTCAGAAATCGTTGAGAAATTTTTGATTTGACTGCTTTTTTGTGTTTACAAGAATGAAATCACTCTCAAACTTTTCTCAAACACAAAGCAAGTAAAGAAAAGAAATGAAAAAGAGTAAATAGAGGGAATTTCGTAAGAGAAGATCCTGGCTCGTCAAGAAACTCGGGCTTGGGAAAAAAGAATTTCAAAATACGAATAGGATTGCTAACGATCAGTCGAATTTCAATCCCAGACCCATGCACTATCAACTCCGCTATCTGGCTTATCTAGAACCCAAAATAAAGCAACCGATATGTGACTAGTTAGGTATAATCTAGTAGAATCAGATCTCTCTGTGGCACCGGTTCAAAGGGATGAGTCCTTTTGGTTTGCCCCAAATTTATAAGGTTAAAAGTTTACTATCTGGCACTCGAAACGGTAATGAGACCAAGATCTGGTAGCTGATCTGATATTCAATCCATGACACCGTATCACTAGTTCAATCCATGACACCCATGGATCTGGTACTAGCCGACACTCAGCATTCTGTACTAGAGTGAGAGCTTCTATCTGATATCACAACTATTGAACATTGAAGCCAGAATTTAAAGATATAAGAATAAATAAGTATCCGGAATTGATACTAACAAAGTCAACCTTTTCAACTTTTAATAGAAAGTTGGGTTTCATTGAATATTCATATTTAATCTAATCTTACATACAATTTCTGATACTCACTTTTTTTTGATCTTCTTGAAGAATGATCGATTGTTGATTTAATCGATTGAATGCAGGTAGATTAGATCCATGATTCATCAAAGAAGATGACGAGGAAGAAGAGGAGGAGAGAAGGTCGAGACTCGGGTTAAAAATATATTGAAGTCGTTGCATTGAAAGAGATTGGAGTTGTTGGATTGAAAGAGATTGGAGTTGTTGTTGAATTGAAAGAGATTGGGATTGATTAGAAAATTGAGGACTTAAGGAAATTGGATGGGAACTTCGAAGGGGATGACCGAAGAGGAGGGGGAATCCGTTTTTGTGATCGTCATCCATTTTTGGGGGTAATTTTTCGAGGTTTTGAAATGATTGAAGTTGACGGTTGATTCGATGTCAAAAGCTGAGGTGAAATTTCTGAAAGATGGTTGGAAATCGGATCAAGATTTAAACAACGAAAAAATGGAGTTTGAAGAGCAAGAACAGTGCAAAAAAAAAAGCATTCAAGTAACCCTAGAATCCCATCTCACTACAGTGATACAAGGTAAAGTCTTATTCAAAAACGCACACCCTCTGGCACACCAAATTGATGATCAAACAGAGTTGGGAATTGAGTGTGCTGAATGATTAAACGATCAAGGGATGCCAGATGATGTGCGAGAAAGTGAGGAAAATAAGAACACAGACAGATTTTACGCTACTTTGTACTTTCTCACAAACGCACACCCTCTGGCAAACTGGTACAGAAAGTTGAGTGTGCCAGAAAAAGTGCTTTTACAAGAGTAAAAAGTACTCTATTTTTATCAAAAATCTTATTCGAAGAAATCTCTAGAAATCCGTGCGAAATGAACATTACAAAACTGAACCCGAAATGCATTCTCTCAAATGATATTTTCTCTTTTTTTTTTTGTCAAACTTTTCCCCTTCTTTTTTTTTCTCTCCTTTTCATTCACATCATGTCAACATATAAATCAACGGGAGAAAAAGAAGAAGAAAAAAAATGGGGAAAGGAGGGGAAATCGCTGAGAGAGAAATGTTGTAATCATTGTGAAATGATTTCTTTTGGGAAAAGAAATCACAAAAACGATTTTCTCTTTACTTTTCTTTTATTTCTTTTCCACCAACATTTCTCCATCCCAAAAATGTTTTCGATTTGAAATCGAATGAAAAGAAAGGTCAGTTCAGGTGGGAAATGGAAAAAGAAGATACATTTCAAATCAATGAAAACAAGGAAAGGACTTTCTTTTCTCACAGTTTCAAGATAAAGCTCATTTCTGAATGATCTGGCCTTTTTGTCTATCTGGCTCACAAAAGCTGGAACCGCTAGACACGGCAGAAGCTAGACCTGCACCTGACTTCTGACCTGACTTACAGCTCTAGTGAAGCATACGTTCTGACTGACTGATACAGGTACTTTTTGTGAGCAATTCCAGAAAAAAATGGTCCTGGAATAATTTGGTAGATATATTTGGTCCGACATTGCTGTACAATTTCAAAACGATGGTTATTTTAGCCAATGTACCTGTACAAAAGTACAAAACCTAAAACTCTTATTTAATTTTAAAAACAAATCACAATAGCGATAAGAAAAAACCCATTTCCCCTTTATTACGCAAGGTCTTATTATACAGCCTCACTTTTATCTCTTACTCTTCTGACTCCACCCCCTTTCCCATCCATTTTCAAAAAATTTGTCCAACTGTACGGAAATATTTTTATTTTTCTTCCAAGCTCTCAAAAACCCATAAAATTGCCAAAATCACAAAAAAAAACAAAGAATTAAATTGCCTAAGAAGATAACAAGTAACAAAAGAGTATCAACCGATAAAAGCACCCATTCAAGTAAACTAGAAACACGATCCTTCTTATTCAATCTCCTTTCAATGTTCAATTCTTGCTGGTGTTCTCACTTGTATTCTCACCATTGCATTCGCTTCACTTTTCCAATTTTGTCGACGCTCCGAATCAACAAATTCGACGAAGAAATGAACAGAACAATTCTAAAAACAGCTTTAATGAAAATTTCAGGTAAATACATCAGCTAAGTTTTCTAGTTACGATAAAATCGAACACAGCTTTGGCTTTTTATAGTATATCAAACAGGAACTCACTTGGTTAAATTGAAGCAAGAAATTCGCGTTGAAATAGTCCTTTTCTTTGAGATTCACCGTTTGCGATTGCTCGCAATCGTTCTAAAAGTAGATTGCCATTCCAAAACGATTTATTCCCTTGACATTATACAGTCATGTGCAAAAGTCTTTTCACACTCAATTTTCTAAAAAGTTACATCGATTTTCTTTGATAAAGTTCATGGCGCTCTTTAAGCTATTAATGGTTTTAGTTACACAAATATATGTACAATTTATTTACACAAACGATGTCGCTATACAAAACTTATTCATCGAGAAAAAATATAATTGTCAAAACACCCCTGAAAATCGTGGTGCAAAAGTCTTTGAACATTTGAAAAAATTTTTGATTATTTTCGTTCGCTTCGTATTTACTGGTACTATTTTATTTTTTAGATACCAGGAGCGTATTTGTCAACTCCGGTTAAAGAAATGATCGTCAAGGCAAGGAAACAAGGGATGTCACGACAAGACGTTGCTCGCCTTTTAGGATGTACCAACAGTTTCTCTTGTTATGGAAAAAATGAATGCGTCTGGAAATGTGCACAGATGTAGGAAAAAGGGACGGACGAGGATTACAACAAAGAATGAAGACCGATTCCTTACGAGAGAAGGCTTTCAAGAAGGATCTGAATTTGACGTTGAACGATGGAGCCATTCTTTTCAAGCAAACTTCAAACAAGAATATTTCCCGCTGGACCTTGCATCGACGCTTGCTTCCAGCATTGTAACTAGAAGACCTGCTTCCAAGCCTATGATGACAGCCAAACACAGGAGGCAACGTCTTCAATTTGCTCAAACCTATTCAAGTTGGACAGTCGATGATTGGGCCTGAGTGATTTTCGTTGATGAAACAAAAGTTGATATTTTTCCTTCAAATCGAAATCACCTGATCCGACGTCCAGTCGGAAAGCGATATCAACTCAAGTACTTGCAACCTACGGTGAAAAGAGGCGGAGTATCAATTCTGTGTTTCGGTAAGGATAATTTTCTTTTTATGCAGCCCAACGTGATTTCTTTAGGTGCGATGTGTAAAAGTTCAACAGGTCCGCTTGTCCTCGTAAAGTCAACAATGGATTGAGATAATGGACAAATGTCTACTTCCATTTGCGACTGCTTCGATGAATCCAGGATGGTTTCTTTATCAAGATAATTCGCCAGTACACAAAAGCAAATTTTTGATGGGCCGCGTTGTGACTCGCTCGAATGGAGGAAAAGCACATTTACCGGGATGGTTTGGGATGAATCACGTTTCCTTGATCAAAGCTCCACCATTCTCACCGGATTTAAGTGTTATCGAGAATTTATGGGCCTATTTGAAATCGAAATTGCGAGGAAAACGTTTCAATTCTAAAGTCGAGCTATGGTTTTACATCAGAAAAATTTGGAGGACGATTGAACCTGGAATTCTTGATGAATTAATTAGATCGATGCCTACTCGTGTTAAAGGAGTACTTTTGGCAAAAGGAGCGCCAACAAAATATTGATTATAGCTTAATTTCGTCTTGTGTTAAAAGGCTTTTGCACCACGATTTTCAGGGGTGTTTTGACAATTATATTTTTTCTCGATGAATAAGTTTTGTATAGCGACAGCGTTCGTATAAATAAATTGTACATATATTTGTGTAACTAAAACTATTAATAGCTTAAAGAGCGCCATGCACTTTATCAAAGAAAATCGATGTAACTTTTTAGAAAATTGAGTGTTAAAAGACTTTTGCACATGACTGTAGATCTAAACGCATTAAAGGAGAATATAAAAACCGAACCCCAGCTAATCCAGCAAATTGCACGATGGCTGTAACGATGACCGTCTCAATTGGAACGATCGGTCCCTTTGTCAAGATCAAACCGGTAACCTAAATGAGAGTACTTGTTAGATTATAGAATCCATAAGTTACTGCCCAACCCAAGTCATAGTAATATCAGTTTTAGTCAGTATAAACAAACTTTGAATGGAATTGGACTGTTCGGCGAAGCGTGATATTCTCCAGAAGTCCCAGGCGTCACGGATAACTAAATTTGTAAACTAGATTGACTTAAACTTAAATTTACCCACCTTAATCTCAAATTGGCATTTCTGATAGAAGAGATATTTGGGCATTCCCAATCGATGCATGCACAAAGACTTCACGACGGTCATCAAATGATTGATCGACTAAAATGAAATGAAAAAAAAATGTTGAAAATGTCGACATACTTGTTCATTTATTCGATGTGTTTCGCTCGTTTGTACCTTCGTCAACATTTCGAAATTCGTTTTTGCCCATTCCAATAATTGCCATTGTCGAAATCTCACTGTACACGTTGAGTCCAATAAAGGAATCTTCACGGGGCTAAAATGTTAAAATGGATTGATTTGAGGTGCAGTTATTAGTCACTAGCTTATAAACATTTGACTCACGCAGGTTCTTCATTCGATATTATGGCTTGAAGACCATAGTTGAGTAGTGAAGCCGTAGAACCAAGCATATGGAGGGCATCTAATGATCTAAAGAAAAAGATAGACAAGAGTATTACAAAACTCCAAAGGCCATGAAAACCTAGTTCCCACCTAATATCCGCCGCAAAACACATTTTCGAGAGCGATCCCCACATTTCGACAGCAGAACGGGCACATCTCTGAGCAACTTTCAACTAAAGTCAACATTTTCGTCACAAAAATCGTTTCATAAACAAACCACTTGTAGCGCTTTCTCACATGCTTCTTGGTTCGTCAACAATTCGGTGCCAACAAGGAAATGACCAAGTCCTCTAAATTTTATTGCTTATTATGATTTTTAAATTCAACAAACCCTAACAATATTCCATAAATCATCTGTGTCGAGAGAAACGAAGTGATGAATCGAGAAACAAAGAGAAATTTTGGTGCAAACGAGCCGATCACAAGTTTCTAAAAGTTTCTAATTAAATTGCTAAAGGATTTTGTCAAACTTTTATGATTTGATTAGCCTGCCTGAGGGATTCTGTCGCTTTATCAACCTCAGCAATTGAGAATTCTTTTGGTTGTGAGAGACAAATGAGACGAAGAATTTGGATCCAATAGAGAGATGATGGGCTGAGATTCTAAAAAAAATTAATGTATTAGTTATTTCAATGAAGGACATTCTCTGGTATTAGATTGATGCTACTAAATTATGGGTCTACTCTGGGCTTAAATCCAAATACCTGTCTATCAATTTGTTCAAGTAACTGAAAAGCCACATCGCGCAAGTGTCCCGTTCTAAAGAAAAAGTTTTAATGGAATCTAATCTTCAACCAAACCTCATCGCCAACAAAGCCACTCGATAAGCAATCCAATCATTTTTCGTCCATTCATCCGCAAGCTGTGTGATCTCTTGATCTTTTGAGAAAACAAGGAACGCCAATTTTTCTGTCGATAAGTGTGCCTCCCAAAAAAACTTGGTTTTGATGCAATTTTCACTCAAAAACCAACTCCTTTTTGTATCATTTTGTCAGCCCATTCCGCAATTGGTGCAACCACTTCAGTCATCGTGTCGGAGAGTTGAGCGAATAATTCGAGAAAAACACCAAGTGATTGATGATTTGATGGGAGGGAACAGATTAAACCGAGTAATTCCCACAAATTCGACTGTTCGATTCCACAATCACGAATGAGATGGATGCTCGCGCGACATAACTGAAAATTGAAAATATCGATAGAGACATTTGGAGATCGACTAGATGTTAAACTTTTCACAGTACAAAGAAGCAACAACAATAAACCTTTTTCAACAATCCTTTCTCCATTTCAAGTGGAAGGGTCGTGAGAAAAGCGTTAAGAAGCAACTTCATATGTTGTGAATTGACTGGACCAATTGCAAGAACTGTTGTCGATAAGCTCATAAACGAGATGCGGACAGCCAAATGCGTATGCCCATAGTATGAAGAAAGATCAATTACAGAATCTGAATAAAAAACAAAATTGAACAAAATATAAACCTCACTTTTTAGCAGATCAATGTGATTGGGTAGGGCATTTTTCGCTATCACTTCCAATACGCGAAGATATTCAAGAATGAGAAGAGGAAGAGCTGATGGGAGAACAGATTGGCGGTGGCACAATTTCTAAATCTTATTATAAATTTGAAAGATACTGACGTCTTCTACTCACCTCAATCGCTTCTTTATCCCACATGTGTGCGTGATGCGCCAAATGTCGAATGTTTCTCAAAGCACAAATGTAGAAACTCGTGATTTTACAATTCACGAGCTCATCGAGAAGAAATGAAATCTAAAGCAAAATACTAGATGACTCTTGGAAAGCCATTACTTGATCAGGTATCGTAAAACGAGTGGCTATCGCTAGATCGGTCATCGAATCCATGAGCATTTCTGAGTGCTGAACTTCAATTGATAAGAACTACAGTAACGCTATTTACCTCCGGTACGAGTACCTCATCTTTAATGAGTCGAATACATACGGCGAACATCGATTGAGTGGTTTGCAAAGAGGATCTAGAAACTGATAACATTAGCAGCACTACTCTACTTAAAAAAAACCTCATTGATCCAATGACGGAAATGAGTTGTTTCTTGCGTTCCTCGGGTGTCAGTTGTGATAGCAACATCATACTCATTCGATCAACAACCATATCACAAATGTCACTAAAATTATATGAATGTGATTTAGTTGATTGTATATTGCTTTTATAAGGAAAACAACAGAACTTACGTGCTTAATTTCACATATTCTTTGAGTGCGATGATGGCTGAGAAAAACTCTTCAATGTGGGACGATAATAAAGACTCAACGACCAAATGGTGGACCTACATTAAATAGAATTTGTTTTCAAAAGATTTCCTACTTGTTTATTATCTTTGGCCACCGGAGCGAGACTTGCGAGCATTTGAAGAGTGAGAGAACGGGCCTCGATGTCCGTACTGTGTGAGACAACTAAGACATTGTCGATGATCGACTAAAAAATCAAGTTATTGGACGGCCATCCCCTTTTTAAAAAGTCTTTTTTTAACAAAAGGGTGTGGGACAGGTTTTTGGCCGAGGTGACCGTCCCTGGTTATTAGTGTGTAACTTTTCACACTTACATTTGCCGAGAAAACGTGCGCTAGTTGGGCTTTGCATTCAGCGAGTGCGTTCACAATCGCAAATCGAACAACATTTGCACTAAAGAATCAAACGTTTAAGAGCCTCATAGTTAAACCAATACTTCAATCTTTAATGACACAGCTATGATGCTGATCTGTAAAAACCTCACTTATGTGCATCATCTTTGAAAAGCGATGAGAGCTGAACGACGACTTTGTTCACGAAAAATGGAGTCGGATTGTCGCGGATGAGTTGTGGAGATGAGCAAACGGCTGACGTTCGTTCGCTCAAAAAGTGGCCGCTGAGACCTAAAAAAGTTGTAGTTTTAGAAATGCTATTAACGAGCAAACCTTTCGCAAAATTTTGGAATATCAGCTCCGACGAGGAGTTACTTTCGATAGCTGGCATCTATTAAAAAATGACATTTATAAACTTTAAGAGCTGTTAAAAAACCAAGAGTTCACCATAAACTTTGAACACATAATGGTGTAGGTACAAAATTTATTCTCCCCAAAATCGAAAACTACAAAAACAAGAGTGAATGCTAGTATAATAAAGAAAAATGATAAAGTAGAAAATTTTAAGGGCAAAAATATCACAGTCAAAATTGAGCATAAAAAACTGAGACAACCAAGGAAAATATGCTAACCAACCAAAATTGCGTGTAAAATCTCTAAAAACACTTCGAAAATTATCGACAAAATGTGACCAAGAGAATCCCAATCTGAATCGTCCGGTGTGTGCTCGGCGATTTTCTAAAAAAGAGATTATGTAGATTAGATGCTGTACCAAATAGTATTGATTGACCAGTGGAGAACCCATTCGGGGCCTTCGGGACGGGTTCGGGGAGCGCGCATAGTTTAAAGGGCCCATTTATAATAGAAAAGAGAAGACAAAGTGAAAAGGAACGCAAAAAGAAACAGAGAACAGAATTGTTTTCGTCAAGCGCACAAAACGACTTTTTAGCACAAAACTTCCCTTCAAACGACTAAAACTACCGTAACCCATGTTAAACCCCGCCCCCTTTTTAAAAGTGGACCTAAAAGTAAACTTGCCTCGAGATCTCGATAATTTCTTATCGAGACTTATCGATATCGTGATAAGCTCATCGATAATTAATGTTTTTCGATTTCACACGTTCTGAGAAAAGTATTCTTTGACGATCAACGGTGCAACAATCGTGAGTTCGATCCCCGGTGCTATCAATTTTTGTCTTTTTTAAAAATTTACGTCCCATAAAACCCGGGTTATTTCCGGGACATCGCCAAATTTTTTTGCATTTTTTTATTTTGGCATTTTTACTGGTACTTTTGTGTTATCTGGGGGATCACTAAAAAGATTATCTGAAGAGATGCTAAAACTGTTTTCTGACAATATTTACACAAATTTGGCATTAGCGGCCATTCCATTGATATTACACACACAATAAAAAATGACCCAATTCAAAGATATTATAGGGCTCATAAAATTTGCGTATATAGGCGCTGAAAATCGGTCCGCTAGACACACACACACACATACAAATTGAGAAATGCATTTTTGCAAAAGAGCAAAATTACTCTTTTTTAAAATTTTTTTTTTTGCATTTTTCATCGTGTATCTGTAACTCATAATTGACGCATACTAGTAATGGAAGAATTCTAGTAATGGAAGAATATGATTTCGAGGAAGGTGATGGCGACGGGGAAAGAAACACCCAAAACGCTTTTTTTTTTTTTTTTGCTCTTACAATTCCATCAAAAAAGCTTGTTTGTATTTTTCCTTGTTTTCAAATAAATCAAATAAAGTTTTGTGTGGGTCGTAAATTCTATGCAAAAATATTCTAAAATGCGCAAAAATAGTAAAAACACTAAAACAAAAAATGTAAAAATTTTGGCGGTGCCTGGGATCGAACCCGGGTTGTGTGGGTTGTAAATTCTATGGGAAAATAGTGTTTAGCAATTTACTCTCGATAAGGTATCGATAATCTCGATATTGATAAGCTTATCGAAATCTGGATGTCGATATCAACAAGCTCTCGATAGTCAAGTCTACCTAAAAGGCAGATTCCCCATAGCCAAAAACCGCCGGGAGCAAAATCTTGCGCGCAAAAGCTGAACTTTGCCTTTTAACCGATAGAGCAAACGTAATTAGGGAGCGTTGCGTTTGCGCCAGCCAGACGAACAGACAAATATCTCTTCTGCTTTATATATAGTAGATAGATCTCTTTAATTACAAAATAACCTTTTTAACATCGGCATAATCGGCCATAATCTCCGTTTCGTTATTCATGATGATTATGTAGAGGTCGTAAATTGTACGAGGACTCGATGGGTGGCCGTAAATCTAAAACCTTGTAAACCACTTTTAGTACTGAACCAAAGCTTACCCCAAAGTACACAGGCCTGGAGCTAAATGGTCCAACTTTGGGCGCATCAAGTATATCGACCCCACACGATGTCGATGATGTATTGTGATCCCCCAGAAAATAGGAGATTTCCGGTGAACTATATGAGAGATACAAATCGGCGTCACCTAAAATTAAGCTATTTGGATGATTTCTTTCAGAGACAAACCTTCAATCGGATTGACGATCATCTGAATCGGTGCATTCCAAACGAACTGAAAAACCGTCCAATTTCCCGCCAAGATCTCCAGTTTCTTCCACATCAAAATACCCTCTTGATCCATGCCCTAAAAAGGAAACTAGTTCACTGATACTCCAACAGTCATTTGTCTCTAATAAATCAGAACCAAAAGGTTGCTTTCGGTTCGTAGAAGAACTGAAAATTGAAGTGCCTTTTCAAAAGTTCGGTGATCGGGGCTTTCTAGTGCATTGATGAAGAGAGATGAGGTAGAGAGAAAAACGATGAGAAGATGCAAATTGAGAACCATTCTTCATAATTGGATTCTCCTAACAAATGACTAGATTAGCATTCGATATCTAAAATAACAACGATAATGTGACAAAAACTTATGAGTTTTCAGAGCATAAAAATATTCACTTTTCCTGGTCAATCACCAAACCAAACATTGCATCAATTTTAAAGCAAAACAATTTATCGAAAAAGGCACAAAACACATAACAAAACCCGTTAAATAAATTTCCTATACAATAAATTTTAGAAGTAAACAATTTAAAACTACTAAAAACAATGTTTTCTATAAACTTAATCTAGATTCAACAACTTCTTTTCGTATCGCTTCGATCAATGAAGAACTGTCAACACGAGATCCGAGAAGTTCTTTGAGAATTTCTTGAGGATGAATCCCACCACCTAAATGCAAAATGGAAAATAAGCAAGATGTTTAAAGTTTTGTTTCCAAATCCGAAAAATGACTTACCATGTGCTTGTGCTTTTGCCCATCGTACTCCATTTTCCCGATCGAGTGGTTCTTTTGAAAAGAGTTGATTGCAGACAAGAGAAGCCGCCGATCGAGCAACCAAATATGAATAATAACGAGCGCCATATTGAACAAGGTGATGGAAACGATGCTAAAAGAATCTTTTTAAGTCTATCAGTGACTCTGAAAAGTTCTTAACACTAAATAGTTTTACCTGCCAAGCATAGTTCTCGGGATATGCGATCCCCGGTGTTGCCCAAGTGGAGATCTTTTGTCCCAATTCAGTCGAACTTCCTCCAGCAACAATCTCGGCAGCTTTACTTCCATGCAGTTCAAGATCAACCAGAGCACAAGACGCCTAAATTTTTTGCTAAGTTAGAAATAAATTTTTCTGTCACCTGTTGTGCGAGTTCTATCCCTGTAAAAGCCGATCGAGACGCAGTTAATACTTTGAGCTGATCAATCGAAATCTTTAAACTCTGAAGATTTTAATCTAACTATTTAGAAATCAAGAGCCGACCTGATTTTCAAGAACCGTTGACATGACACGAGGATCGTAGAAGAATTGCTCCATTAAATTTGACGGGATTTCGGCCATATCCTGAATGAAAAATAATAACGGCAAAGCTTTTCAGCTACCTGTGGACATCTAGTACCAGCCACATGTTGATATTTCGTTTTTCCTAACATCGAGTGCATCGCATGCCCTGAAATTCAATTGAAAAGTTATAGTCAAATCAAAAATCACACCCATTTCATGAAAAAGATTCTCAGCTTGTCCCACACTCAACATCGCATCTTTCCAATTCTTCCATTGTTGACTCGTAAATGAAAGGGACAAAACAACGATCGGAAGTTGCCATGATCCATCAGCCAACTGAAAACTTTCGATTATCAATAGTTCTCCTGCAAAAATTACCTCTTTTGAGCATTGAACCGTGTAATGACAATCACCGATCGCTTTCGAGCTCCGATTCTCGATATCCACATAGATTTTCCCAAGTGTGTTCCCGTTTTCATCATCGACTCTGATCTGAAAAGAATATTTTGTGAGAGAATGCTACCCCTTTGAACCTACTTTGAACACCAACCCAGGCCAAATTTCGTCCGAATCAACTTCTTCGTAGCAAAATTTCGTTCCATAAAGTGAATGAGTGATTCTTTCAAAGGCTCGCATCACGTTTCCCGTCGAATAGAAAGGGGATATACTGCTGAAAAATGCCCGTCACTACAGAGTTCAAATCAAAACAATCTTACCTAATATAATTCGGTCCAAAGATCGAACTTTTATAGCTTGAGCCAAGAAAATGCAGGTCATAGACACCGATTTGATCACCCTAAACAATTTAGTTAACCTAAGTACAGTCAGACCAAAATTACATCTTCGTGCTCATATTTGCATTTCTTTCGTTCTTCTTTCAACAACCTCAACTCCTCATCGACTTCTGGACGTAATTGCTAAAAAGCGTAATTGCTAATCGAGTCTTAAAATTTAATAAATAGATTAAAAACCTCGATTAATCCCACGAGAAAATTTTTCACTCCATCATATGAGCCAAGAATTGTATTGAATTGAGCCCGGCTTGCATAGGAATCGTATCTGAAAAGAAAAAGCAACTAAATCATCTATACTGTGAAAATACCCTGTTAAAATGGCCAATTCATGTCGTTTCTTTAGCAAATCTCGTAGATTTTGCTCTTGTTCTGGATTGTGTTGCATGAAAATCGAGTAAGCAAATCTAAAGGAATAATTAATAAAAAATACTATTCATGGAACACTTCAAAATACACACCTTCGTCTCTGATAGTCAGTTGAATTGCTGATGGGTCCGAAAATTGTGTTCGTCGACAAGCCATAACGAGCTCGATCCGCATTTCTAAATAAGGTTATCAATTTAGTAAATAGATTTTTCCCATTTAACTACGATATATCTCAATCACTCACGAAATGACCACCGGTTTGTCGCAAAGGTCCTGATATTTCGATCCAGCAACGAAAATTCCCGTGCTCAAGTTAACGAATTGTTGCCTCTAAACGCAAAACCTCAAAGCTGACGATAAAACAATTCAATTACCTAAATTGTTATTCAAGAAAAGTCCTTCCTACCTCATTTTCGGCTAAATGGACTCCGCTTTGTTGAAAATCATCAATGAAAAGATCGAGTGTTCTCAAATCAATTACGTCCATTTTATTCAACTAAAATTGAAAAAAAGATAGTTAGCTTGAAAGGAAACTCTAACTTCATCTTTTCTTGCCGAAACGATTTTATCATAAAGCGTTTTTCGGGTGTTGATCGATTCGACCAGATCGCAAAAGTCGTGGGCGCTTTGCTAAAAAAACACGAGAATTGATTGCAACTTAGTATTTTTAAATTTGGATTCACAACGTTTTCCCATACCTCGGCAGCGTTTTGTATCCTCGGATCACTGTGCATTTGACGAACGCATTCTACCAAGTCCGCTGCGCAACAAATCTAAAATAAAAATAGGCTAAAAAAAGGAATGATGTCCCAATCACTAACCTCATTGCTGAGGTCATCAAATAATTTGACTGTGAGACGATCCTGACTTCCTAAATTTTACCGATAATTATCACCATTAACATAAGCAAAAAAATGCGTAGCAGAGCTAAAACTAGTTTTTTCAAATAAATATCAAATCAAAGTACCTGTCTCAATTCTCTCAATCATTTCCTTGGATGCTATTCTGACTTGTCGATTCAATTCCACAAACCCCTCGGGCCCATCGAGTAATTCATTGCCAAATAGACCTAAACGAACTTTACCACCAAATCCAGACGGACTCATTTACCTTTTGATGTTTTAACTTTCCTTTTTGTCCACGTGAATGTCCTCAAATGATTATTCCTCGCCAACACCCGCAACATTAGAATGATCTTAAATATATTAAATTAAAAGCTCTAAAGATATGAAAAACTACAAAGTCAAAAAAATTTCTGGACACTCGAACTCGACAAATTTAGGAAGAGTTTCACGCTTGGTCTTTACATAAAAAATAAAAACTACTTGTTCAGCAAAGACCTCTACCTAGTTGCATTATACGATTTCACAGTCTAAAATATAAGCAATCACAACTTTTTTGTATTCACGACCACATTTCCTTTTGATTTCTCAGAAATCCCAAGTTCTCGAGTTAACTTTGGTTGTTTGGGTATTTGTCGAAACAAGATTTTGTTTAGACTAATTTATTGGAAGTGTTAACACGAAAATTATAAACAAAACCCGTAAAATGTAACACACACGTTTAATATTAAAGGCAAAATCTGTATAATTAAAAGGTAAGGAAAAGGTGGGGAGAAAAAACAAACAAAACATTCAAATATTATTGTAACAATTCAATTTCTATTGTTTCTCTTCGACGGGCTGGTTGACTACATCGGAGGGCGACCATCCACTAATTTTGGCATATTGAAGACCTAAAGTTTGACATTATTTGCGCTTATGAATAGAAATAAATTGACTTACCCTTAAACGATTATGTTCTTTCAACTCAGTGATTCCTTGTGGAGTGAAGAGTATAAATTGAGAGTGCTTGCAGTCCTCAGTCGTGAAGCGAATGATCAATTCCATGATCAACTAAAAAGAAAAATTTATAAATTAGCATAAGACGCTAAGAAAACTCAAAACTATACCCACCTTTCGGTTTGTCGAGTCCATAAACACATCAAACTCATCCATGCACCTTGAACAACTTTAAGTTTCAAGTAAAACAACGGGCAAATTCTTACCTGAACGGCGATTCCATGATTCCCCAAAGAGCCATCACAAACGAGGCTGTCAGATATGAGCGTTCACCACCAGATAAGCCTCAAATATTCGTTCAAAACAAAAGCCTGTACAAATACCTTTATGGTCTCGGATCACTTGCTGATTTCCTTTGGCTCGAACCGGAATCTCAATTTTTCGTTCTAAAGACCAGCGATGACAAACAATTTGCAAATAATCATTCTCAAACCATTAAAATTGACATCAATATCCGCTTCAACTCCTCTGTAATGCATCAAACGTCGGAACTCAGCCTAAATGTGATATTGGATCAAATCAATGAGACGACAAACGTACCCTTAACTGACAAGTGATGGTATGCCTAAGGATAGGAAAATACGCAAGTCTCTTTTTAACAGCTTCATCGAGAGTCTAAAAATCAAGCAAATATACATTTTTTATTAGTTAAAGCTACCGCATACAGCTTGATAAGTCTTTTCTCGGCATCTTGGTTTGCCTGCACATTTTCGGTATTTTTGTTGAGAAGCTTGTTGATTTCTTCCAAAGGCGGCAATCTAAACTAATCTTATCAGTAAAAAGATAGATTTCCATTTTGTTATATTAGCAGACGTTATATGTTATGACTGGATGTTTTGGGACTGATGCATAGCTTTTGTCGCCATGGCGCATCGGGAGCACTCTTGTCTACGGTCCACACGACCCGGGTTTATAGTAAAATCTCACGTTTTTAACTTCTCCAAAACTTCGCAGTTGACTTTCTTGTAAACTTTTGCAATACGGTCTGCTTGAGGTAACTTCTGTAGATCGGGTGGCATCTTTTGTCCGTCAGGAATCGGCATTCCCGATGTATCTTCTGTCGCCTAGACATAATTATAAACTTGTTAAGAAAAACCATCCCCTACCTGTTTTATGCAATTATCGTAGTTGCGGGACTGGATCACGCGCGTTTTTTCATATTTATCGTAGCGTTGCTAGAATTCCATTCATCGAAATCACAAAGTATGTGTCACTTACTTTCAATTCGTTCTCCGTTTTTTCGTAGGCCTGGATTTTGTTCATCAACCCTCTCAGACGATCGTCCCGTTCTCGAGCTTGTTCCTAAATTTAAATGTAAGTTTCGAGACCATCAAATTGTAACAATTTTAATTAGGCAGCTTTTTTAAAACTAAACCGTGAATGGTCGAAGTAAGATCCGGATTTCCTCGGCTTGTGCATTCAATTCCTTCTTTGTTTCTTCGCTTTCAACCAATTCGGCCCTGGCTTCCTCAACTTGAACTTCGATATCAGCAAGCTCTGATTGAAACCCTCTTATTAGTTGGTCATATTCGGCAATGGCTTGTTTCTAAAGGTTTAGTTATACCGCCAACTATGAGGCTTGATCTTACCAAATTATTTATAGGTCCTTCATGCTCATTGTTCTCCAATTCAAACTCGAGTTTTTGCATGAGTGCCGCTTTGTCGCGTTTGAAAGCATCCGTCTAAACTTACTTCGAAAATAAAATGCCCTATTTCAGAATCCACCTCTTTCATCCGGGTCACAATTGATTGAATTGTGTTGCCCAATCCAGTGGCTTCATGCGTGGCAAGTTTTTGTTGTTGCACAAGTTCTTCAACCTAAACAACGAAATATTGACCCATCGTTTATTTCATACCTGTCGCTGTGCATCAGGGAATCGAGCACTCAATTCTTGCATATCTCTGTCAATTCTAAAATTAGAATTTTTTAAGAAAAAAAAAATATTAAGACCTGCTCGTGTCGGGCAACTGTGAAACCTTGAGGTACTGAACATGAACATAACCCTCTCTGGTGTTAGGGAAAAACCTAGAAGCAAGAAGAGTTATGACTTGAATAAGTTCCAGTTACCGATAGAATCCTTGATTTCCTGTTCGTCCGTGTACCTTTGCAGCTGATAGGGTGTAGCAATTTCGAACGTTAATGGGACACCAAAATCACAGAAATAAATTTTTAAAAAAACCCTTACATCTCCATCCATGATACGTCGGGCGTCACCATCTCTCTCGATGAGCATCGTTGCCTCAATCTGTGCCCTATCCACGAGCACGTTATAGGCTACATCGTTATTTATCTAAAATAAATAAATAACTTTTATCCCTCATCATTTACCTCAAGCATGCGTTCAATTGTAACCCATCTTCCTTCAGGCTGTCGTGTGTTATGTCGTGGGAGAAATCTATTCAAAATGCCTTTAAAACAAAACACACACAACCCACCTCGTGACAATTATTCTCACCGTGTTCAAAATTCCGGAGCCGAAACGTTGAGTAAGTAGTTGCTTGAAGAGCTACATTTCATGTGAAAAATGTAAGTACTCAGTTAACGAACCCTATCATCTTGAGTGTTATCGACAACATATTGCGCCAGATTGTGTCCAAGTGCTTGTTCAATCGGATAGGCCCATCTTTCATCTTTGACTTGAACGTGCATTCCTGAGTTACTTGACTTGAAAGAATTAAATTTATAAATACCAATAGGTCCAACCGGCACTCGCTGAAATCGTTGCCGATTTGCCTGTATAATGTCCAAAATGGCTTTTGTGTGCGGGCCGAATCTGAAAATAAAATTTTTAGAAACTTAAACAAAACAAACTTGCTCAGTTCATCTTTTGCTGCGCGTTCAAAATTTTCCTTGGCTTCTTTGAGTTTATCTATGAAAAAATAACTATTAATGTTAAATATTAGTCTGTGTACCAAAACGTTTCCTTTGTTCGCCAAGTGAACTTTTTGTTTGTTGAAGTTCGGCGTTGATTTCAGTCAATCGTTGCTTAGCTTCCCAGTGTTTTTTTTGCTGGTCTTTGTTCTCCCTCTCGAGTGTTTTGAACTAAAGAGTAATAGTAATGCGAGTCGAACTAAAAGATCTTAATTGCCCAATATAAAGATAAAATAGCTGTTTGCTTGGTTATTTCCAATTCGGCGAATGGGCGTAAACAAAGACCACCTTAGCATCAGCCTCTTCGAATTGTGCTGCCGCCTCGTTTAAGCGTTTCCTTTTTTTAGCATCTTCACTTTGCGCGGCCCCACTTTCATATTTTTCTAGCTCGTTCTTGCATCTTCCCAAATTTGCTTCTTTCACCGATATATTCTGAAGGCATTTCCGACGGTTATCCCTCAATAGAATACTATTATCGTGTTCTTTTTGAATTCCTCTTACTGTAATCCACCGAGCATTGCTTTGTTATTCCGTTGAGTCTCATCGTGGACTGCCCATTGAGCATTTAAGATTTTCAACTAAAGTCTATCATTAAATGAATACACGATCGGGGAAAACCTTTTCTTTCATTTCTTGCTCATCATTGTTGTTCGTATTCTTGTCGGCAGTTTGTTCTTAAAATGAGGATTATATTGCTAGAAGGAAAAATAAACCTTCATAAGCTACTTTTGCGTTGATGATATTTTGGCCAATTTCCTTGCAGCTCTTCTCGGTCATTTTCAGAGCTTCTGTTGCCCTTTCCATTTCCTAGAATTCATAATAAAAAAGATAGTTGAAATGCTAATATAGCAAACAAAGCTGCCTTACATCAAAGGCAGTCTTAGCGTCACCCCATAGCATGAACCACGACAATTCTTCCAACACACGGCGCTTTTCCTTTAGCTTTTCGTGCTCTTCCAAACACTCCAGCCATTTTTTCCGATCTCTAAAAGATAAGTGAATTTTAACGCTCAAAAAAGCGCTTTACCCAGCCGCTTTCAGAGCTTTTTTCTTGATATCGTCCATTCCCGCTCGAATGCTGACCATTTTACTTCCACATTCTTCATAATCCTTCATGGCTTGGTCCAATTCGGTTGCATTTACGAAAATCTAAAACACATTATTTCAATAAAAATTACCAGATTTTAACCTCAAAAAGTCTCGCGCCTTTCATGTCGCTCAAAAATTGTCGGCAACGGTCCTGTGTCATCCAAAAGATTGGATTCTCCAGTTGAATACCGAATTGAACAAGAATCTTCTGCAAGTCGCGACGTTTTGTAGAAACAGTTTCTTCTGAAAAATTGAAATTTTATTTGACTTTGACTCAAAGAATGAACCTTAAGGTTACTTACGCTCTCATATTATAACTATCCTCTTTCACCGAGTATTCAGACCTTTTTGTGTTTTCCTGTCGATATGCTTAATAGCGACCGTGCTTCCCGTTTGATTCAAAATCCTTTCAATAATCAGCTTTGGTCCGTATTCGGGGATGCGTCCATAGCCCAGGTTCTCCAACGTTATTCTGATTTTCGCCCGAGTGCATCCTTCTAAATGAGAATTTTATTTCAAAATGAGAATTCAATAAAACAAACGAAGAACACACCGACCTTTGATGTAGTTTTTCATGTGCAGACCGCGATCATTTTGTGATGCTCCTCCTCCAAGACCGAGATTCAATGCTGCAAAGAGGGCACTCTTTCCACCTAAAATATGACAATGGTTCAAAAGTAATACAAAGTGAGGTAAAATTCGCTATCACTCACTTCCATTTGGTCCTCCGATGAAAAAACAATTAGCTTCCGTGATATCAAATTTGATGACAAGATTGCTGTGACACATGAAGTTCTCCATTTCGATTGCGCTCACTCGGCCTGAAGCGGTTTCCATGTCTTAACAGCCACCCCCATTTTACCCGAGCTAACATCGAAATTGCTTACCGGCAACTTCTTTCACAAAGGTGACATCCAAATTATCCTGATCCTCAGCATCTTCATTATCCGATTGAGCATTTTGCGTGCGAAGAACACGGCGTTGAGTCTCACAACGAGATGCTAATTTGGCCTTCTAAAGTTTAAAATGTGTATTGTTACTGGTTTTTGGCCACTTTTTAAAAGAACTCCTTCATTCAAGAAGTAATAATAGTTATAATCTTAGCACTTACGTCCTACTGTTTGTAAAACTATTCGAAACTGAACTTTAAAAAAAAATCTAATCTTAAAAAGTTTTAATATAACAAAAACCGACCTTTCGCGGTATTTCTTCATCATCCGACTGTCGATTCTGATTAGGGTCTTCTTGTTCTTCTGCATAAGACATAGCCCTAAACGATAAAATTGAGAAAATAAAATTGTACTTATAAAAGCTTTATAATTAAAACTAAAAGGAAATAAGTAATACGCTACTAAAAGCTTTTCAAAGTTTACGAAAGCAAAGAGCCGTGAGAAACGTGCAGAGAAATGACGAGTAGGGGTGGCCTTTGGCATACTCACAAAGAAATGAAAACATTTCTTACACAACAAATCAAGAATATGCCAAATTTGGTTCTGGAGGTTGGGAAATTTCGCCAAAACTTTTTTGATTTTCTTTGAAAAGGGCTGCAGCGCGAAAAAGACATTTCTGACATTTTTCAATAAAATCCACCATGCACTATTACGCTTTCAGGAAGTAAACTAGTCGCATGACATTGCACCCCTCAAGAATCCCAAAAATCCAGAGCAACAACGATAAATGACAAAGCGAAAGTTTTTTCAAAGTGTACAAATGACACAAGGTTGTACACAGACGTGCAGTCTCGGAAAATCAGCATAATATTGGAAAGCGCCAAAATTTGCATTTATCGATCAAATAAAAGGAAAGCGAGTAGAGCGAAAGTTTATCAGAAGAAATCTCCAAACTTCACCGATCCAATCAAGATGTCGACCTTCACCGTGGATCCACCAGCCGCTCAATTGGACGCTGCCGGAGGAAAGAGCATTCACACGCTCAACAATGGAGGAGCCGCCAAAGTCGTCTTCAAGGTGAGAGTTTTTGGATCTTATTCTTATTTTGGCGCTTGCCTGATAGTCTTTGAATTTTGTTTTGTTACTATCCCATTTGGGTTTTTCTAAGGGTTTTAATCGAGATCATTGGCGATGTTATATTCTTTATTTAGGTGAAATCATCGAACAACACCGAGTACCGCCTCAACCCTGTCTTCGGATTCGTCGAGCCTGGAGCCGTAGCACCCCTTGAAGTAACCCGTTTGGCCGGCCCTCCGAAAGAAGACAAGCTGGTGATCGAGTTCGGAGATGCACCAGCCGATGCCGAAACTCCTCAAGATGCCTTCAAGGTAAATGTTTTTACTTGTTACTAGTTGATTTCTTGGTTAGAAGCGTTCTAATTTCTTGTTATTAGGGTGTGGCCGATCCGCAGAAGCTCACGATCTCCCTCACGGCTCAATAGACGACTCAACTCTCCTCATCGCGATTGTTCTTCATTCAACCGCGAATCAACGACAACCTATTTTCCATTTCCCGTTTTTGCGATCTGCCCAATAAAAATTTCCTTGGCACAGAACACAGAAAGGCCTAATAAATTTATTGCATATATGGGGAATTTTGTTGATGAAAACTTTGTAAGGTCCCATTGGAACAAGGGATTGAAGAGAAATCGACTTGTTATTGTTGTTTTCACCCTAGATAATCTATTCTAGAAATTTAAATGAATCCCCTCAGAAAAGAGCTATCACTTTTTGATGAAATTTTCGCACCGATCGAAGCGTTCTTTCGGAAAGATTTTCTCTATAGATAATGATTGGAGCAGTGTCGAAAATCTTGTCGCCAATGGATGCGAAAAAGGATTTGTTGATTTGTTTTCCCGGAATTTGATTTGCAAATAAAAATGTTGAAAGATGTTGCGCAAAAAAAATTTGGCAAAAAGTAGCCATCCCGACGGATTCTGTCTGAGCCTTCGCTGGCCAAGGCTCGTTGGAACATCTCTGCTTGGTAGTGACTGCATAAATGTTCTTATAGTCAGTCTTGAAGCGCCTCAACTATAACTGACCCGTTGATGATTCACACTCGACTATGAAGCTATTGTTTGTGATTAGCAAGTCGTTTTACTATTTCAATCATTTTTTAATTTTTGAAATTTGTATCATATTAATTTAGTATTTTTTTTTACATTTGGAAACGTGTGTATCACCACCGATAGAAATGCAAAATCAATCACTCAATCAACAATCAACCAATCACATACACTGTTGATGCTTTTCAATTCTGATCATTACTTGCACGAGACTGGGATTTTAACATTAAAGTTTTCATCTTTGAATACACATAATAGGATTATTGATTTGATTTTATTTTATTGACGAGAGAAAAGAAAAGGATTAGAGGAGATCAAAATTGATCAAAATGATCAGAATGAAAAAAAACTTTACTTCCACGAGACTGGGATTTTAACATTAATGATCAGAATTGAAAAGCATCAACAGTGTATGTGATGATTGAGTGATTGATTTTGCATTTCTATCGGTGGTGATACACACGTTTCCAAATGTAAAAAAAATACTAAATTAATATGATACAAAATCCACCGAGAAACTGAGTCCATCTCTCGATTCATTTCAAAAACTTTCTTTTTTCAATCAAAAAAATTCAATTTTTCCCCCACCGGCACCCTTATCTTGAAGAGGAAGAAAAGAAGAAGAAAAGAAGAAAAAGAAGAGATAAAAACGGTCCTCAAATCAGCTTTTCCCCAGTTTATGGTCAGTTCTCCCATTTTTGCATGGAAATTTATGATTTTTGGATGAACTGTTCACTGTTTAGGCAGAATAAACGAGTTTTGAAAAAATTTAGTGAAAAAATGAAAATGTTTCATTTTTTCATGTTCGAACCTGCACCCTATCAAAATAGTCACTGATTTGCGGTGTTGGGTGCTGATGATTAGAGGGATTACGGTGGTTTGAATCGTGTTTCACCGATGGGTAACTATCGGATTTATAATTATGGTGATTCAGGCTACGTTGAATCCACTTGGTCTCCTCTCAAATAATGCGTTTTCTAAAATGTGGCAGCTTTCAAAAGCTACCGAAAGCTACCGTAGTAATATCAACTTTTGTTTCATCAACGAAAATCACTCAGGCCCAATCATCGACTGTCCAACTTGAATAGGTTCGAGCAAATTGAAGACGTTGCCTCCTGTGTTTGGCTGTCATCATAGGCTTGGAAGCAGGTCTTCTAGTTACAATGCTGGAAGCAAGCGTCGATGCAAGGTCCAGCGGGAAATATTCTTGTTTGAAGTTTGCTTGAAAAGAATGGCTCCATCGTTCAACGTCAAATTCAGATCCTTCTTGAAAGCCTTCTCTCGTAAGGAATCGGTCTTCATTCTTTGTTGTAATCCTCGTCCGTCCCTTTTTCCTACATCTGTGCACATTTCCAGACGCATTCATTTTTGCCATAACAAGAGAAACTGTTGTGGGCGTACATCCTAAAAGGCGAGCAACGTCTTGTCGTGGCATTCCTACCTTCCTTACCTCGACGATCCTTTCTTTATCCGGAGTTGACAAATACGCTCCTGGTATCTAAAAATAAAATAGTACCAGTAAATACGAAGCGAACGAAAATAATAAAAAAATTTTTCAAATGTTAAAAGGCTTTTGCACCACTTTTCAGGGGTGTTTTAACAATTATATTTTTTTCCCAATGAATAAATGTTTTATAGCGGTAACTTTTGTGTAAATAAAACCATTAATAGCTTAAAGAGCGCCATGAACTTTATCAAAGAAAATCTTTTTATTGAAACTTTTAGAAAATTGAGTGTGAAAAGACTTTTGCACATGACTGTACTTTTGGTTTCCTTCTTGAACCCTTACAGACCAACATAAACAATTCTCCCAAAGCAAATGCCCGTGACAACGACAAACTCCCAGACCGCCAAGGTGTTCTTTGTGGACACTCGTAATCGCTCTCGATCTGGCGCGCGTCTTTTGGTTAAGTCTCTCCTTCGGGTCGCTCATAAACTTACCTGGCTGGGGGGCTTTCGTGATCACAAAGACGGAACCCCCATGGTGAGACGCGGTCATTGCACTTCTTGACTGCGTTGACCCGTGTGGCAGCTCCGAGTTGGGGTTCGCTAACAGCTAAATTTTTGCGTGAGGGGCTGCGTTCGCGCGGCCCTGCTTTTGAATCAATTGAATGTTATCTTGAAGGTGATGCTTTTCAAATAATATGTATCTTGCTAACAATTCCCCACATTTTGCTGCTCATTGGTATACTCTGAAAGAGGATCAAAATTTATGAATCAAAAATGAAATTCGAGAGTGTTGATGGACTGAACGTCTCAAGATTCAGGCTAGAGCAAGATTACTGTAGTCACAAAAGTTGACATGCTTTAGAATACACTGGAATCCTTAAACACACCGAGGAATCCCCAAACGATCGAGTAGCTGAAGCACCGTAAGCTTGCCTCTTATGTACTGTATTTTCTACTAGGTGAAAAAATATCGTAGTCAACCAGTAAATTTGAAAACGGATTGGATGGGAAGAAAAATTCAGGGTAACATTTTGGCAATTTGGCAGGGCAGGGATTTGCCCCTAGCTTGAATCTGTTTACGAAGAATATTGGAAATACAAAAATTCGACATTAGATGGAAGAAGATTATGGAAAGATTTAATATTTCAATTTTCAAATTCTATTAGCAGGGCCGCGCGAACGCAGCCCCTCAGCAAAAATTTAGCTGTTAGCGAACCCCAACTCGGAGCTGCCACACGGGTCAACGCGGTCAAGAAGTGCAATGACCCCGTCTCACCCCATGGGGGTTCCGTCTTTGTGATCACGAAAGCCCCCCAGCCAGGTAAGTTTATGAGGAGGCTGAGGGAGGGGATTAACCAAAAGACGTGCGCCAGATCGAGAACGATTACCCGTGCGCACAAAGAACACCTCGGTAGTCGGGGATATCTTGTTGCCACGGGCATTTCCTTTAAGGACATTCTTCAAAACTGGAAGTAACTGGTCTGGTCTGCTCTAAATTGATGAATCTTTTTGTTGATCTGTTACTAGTATTACAAGTATGGCTGGTGAGCTTGTGACTAGTTTATCCCTATCTTCGATCTCTTTATCACTGACATGATGTGTGGTGGGTGCTTATCCGATTCGATAAATCACGATCGCAATCGATCCATTTTACACCCGTTTACAGATCGTTTCGGCAGCCAATTCAGGTTGATTCGTTTCACTAAAGAGTAAAATTCACCATTTTTGCTTGATGCGACAAAAACTTCTCTCCTTTGAGCACTTTGGCATCAATAAATTCGGGTCTAAACTCAGTGGCACCG